TCCTTATATACTACTGGGGAGGACGATGAGTAAGCGTATAAGAAGAGAGCATGTGACGTCCAGAGGACGCTGACTGAGCGATGAATAACGCTGAGTAAGGGAGCATAATCGACATAAGGTCAGATAGTCCATGGCTGAGTAATGCGAGTAATCCGGACGCTGTCTAGAATAGTCCGGAACATCGTAGAACGTACCAGAATCATATGGAGGGATGGCAGGATGCCAAGTAAGTACAGAACAAAAGAATGTACGTATATGGTAAGTAGGAAAGTCCATGCTGGCGTATGGTAGACGCACAGCCACTATCACTGCCACTCCCGGTCCAGCACAGCCGTAGACACAGAAGTTCAACAGGACGTTGTACCAAGCGTGTAATCTGTCCTGGTAGAGATTATTGTTCGGAACAGTGACATACCCATACCCGGCTCCCGCCGTCCTGTAACCACCAGACGGTGCAGAAGACTCGTGCACCGCCGGGGACAGCGGACTCGGCGGAGAGCTTATGTGGCGGAGCGCCGGGTGCTAGCGCCAGCTTTCCTCCCACCATGATGCACGACCGCCCTCGGCCCCTCGCACCCTTTTGACTGTCCAACGTTGACTCCCTTCCCAGAGAGCGCTATACTTGCTACGGACAGTCATTGGCAATGACGTGAGTTTTCATTGACCATCACCTTGGCCCTATAGCTCTTGCATGGATGGTTAGGCCTTCGGACGGTCCGCCCCCCGCTCCGAGTCGACATGTCATCCCCCGGCGACTAAGAAGCGCGGAAATGTCGCTGCGCGTTGATATCGTGGCGATATAAAGTCCCATGTTCAGTCCACGGGGCCGTAAACTGCCCTGTCCTGAACCTCTACCCTCCCAATGGGCCTTACCACCCCGTCGCCCGAGATCGGCGCTCTCTTGCTGACTGCTTTCCTCTATGGAGCCTGGAGATTCTATGGATTCCTGCGTGTGGTATACTTGACTCCTTTAGGTGCCCTTCCAGGCCCATCAACACCCAGTTTGGTGTATGGGAACATGAAAGAGATCGCCGCGATGGACGACACTCTTCTGCCGGACACCTGGTTCACACGGTATGGCAAGAACCTGATTGACCGTGAATTCTTCATGGTCCGTCGTGATTACACCTTTTTCTCCTCCCACGATCGCTCACACACACGAATGTAGCGACCGCGCCTCTGGTCGCTCGATCCTCTAGCCATCCACCATATCTTGTCCCATCCCAATGATTTCCCTAGACCAGAAGAAGCGCAGAGGGGTATTCGCGATCTCTTGGGCCGAGGTACGCTTCCTCCCTTGCCAATATGACATTCCTCACTGAATCTCTTCCCGCAGGATTGCTCTCCGTCTGGGGTACGTTTGCAACACCTGATGATGAAGGTAACTTGTTCTGAACTTCATAATCTAGGCGAGGAACACAGGAAACAGAGGAGAATCTTGGTCAGTGACTTCGTCTCTGTAAATACTGGAACTAACGCATCTAAGCAGAATCCCGCCTTCGGACCCGCGCAAGTCCGCGACCTCACCCACATATTCGTCGAGAAGTCAATTGAGGTGCGTTGGTCTCCTCGGCATACCCCACGTCAGTGATTGTGACACACTCGCAGCTACGTGAATACTGGGCCAATGCTGCGCGCAGCGGCACCGCTCGAGTGAACGTCAACAGCGATCTCAGCAAATTGACCCTCGACATAATTGGCATAGCAGGCATGATACTCGTCATCTGCAGTCGCGCCGTGCACGCCTGACTTCCTTTGCCTCTCTAGGATTCGGATATAACTTCAACGCCCTGAACCCGGAAGGCACACCCAATGAGCTCAGCATGGCGTTCAGAAAGCTGTTCATGGGCACCCCGTCTATCTCATCTCTGGGACCGGTCCTTCGACTTTGGTTCCCTATCCTTAAGCGTATCGTAAGTGACTGGTTCGCTGTGCGATAATTCAGCGGTCATCTGGCTTATCTTTCGCATCAGCGCACCGAGCGTGGGGCTACACTCGAGTATGCGTCTCAAACATTTCAGCGCATCGGAACGCAGCTAGTCGAAGATCGGAAGGCCGCGATTCTCAAGGAGGCTTCGGAGAAACACCTACAGGGCATCGAGCGCAAGGATCTGCAAGGCCGTGATCTGTTGACGCTCCTCATCCGCGCCAATATGGCTCAGGACGTCCCGGAAAGCCAAAGGTTGTCTAACGAAGACGTCATAGGCCGTGCGTCCCTTTCGCTTCTCCCGCGAGCTCCAAACTAACGCGCCCTTGTTGTGCAGAGATCCCGACGTAAGCGTCCGGTTTACAATGCTATACCGCGCGTTCCGCTGACATCCGCTTCCTAATCTCAGGTTCCTCCTTGCGGGACACGAGACAACGAGCACCTCGTCCACTTGGGCCCTCTATTCGCTCTCCAAGTACCCGAAAGTGCAGCAGAAGCTTCGTGAAGAGTTGTTATCCGTCTCAAGCGACACGCCGACGATGGAAGAGCTCTCAGCGCTGCCCTACCTCGACGCCGTCGTGACTGAGACGCTCCGGCTGCACTCCCCGATCCCAATGCTCACTCGGGTCGCTGCCAACGACGACGTGATTCCGCTCGGCGAGCCGTTCACCGATCGACACGGCAAGGTGCACAGCGAAATCCGGTAAGCAATGTCGAAGCGTGCAGTGTGTCGATCAACCCCTAAACGCTCATTGTCGTGACAGGATCGCCAAAGGCAACAAGATCATCGTCCCCATAATGGCGATGCATCGCTCCCGGGAATTATGGGGCGAGGATGCCATAGAGTTCAAGTACGCTCGTTTCCTCGATCGCGCAACGTGTTTGCATACACTAACGTCACCGCGTCCCCGCAGACCCGAGCGCTGGCAGCAGCCTCCCGAAGCTATTTCGGCGATCCCTGGCGTATGGGGCCACCTACTCACCTTCATCGGAGGCCCGCGCGCGTGCATCGGATATCGCTTCTCCATCATCGAGTGCGTCTGACTGGTGTGCCTCTGCTCTCGTCTGCAGAACTGATGTTAGGCCAGACTCAAGGCGATTCTGTTTACGCTCGTCCGTGCGTTTGAATTCGAGTTCGCTGTGCCTTTGGACGACATCGTCAGCAAGACCGCACCTTTGGGCCGTCCGTCTCTGCTGAGCGAGCCGGAGAAGGGGTACCAACTACCGCTCATTCTCAAGCCGTACAAGGCTACCTGAGCTGGGCGACTGGGTATTGGACAAGATTGAAACGTTTAGCGTCGGTATCGTGAGTTCGTCTTATTTATGACAGAGTTGGATCGGTCTATTGTTAGGAGATTCTTCGAGTCGAATCAACGTCGTCCCTTTTGTGCGATATCCTACCTCAGTATTAAGGACGCCATTAAGGGTTAGTGGCCCTAGTTCGCCCCCCTAACACGTTTTCCCCTGTCCCCTGACTATATATGATGAAACGTAACCTCATCCAAGGAGCCTTTCCCGGGCCAACAACACGCGCGCATTGTGCGGGCAACTCTGCTAGTGAGTTCGCGACGACTTCTTTGTAGCCAAAACATCGTCATAGCGGATAACCTTGCAGGTATTAGTTGTAGGCGATCCCCGCTTCGAGCTTCGCGCTGGCGCAATTGGTGATGAGCGTGTCCGGTAGATTTAGGGTGTGGCTCGTTGATCCCCCACACCCGGGTCCTTGTTCAATCTTCGCCCGATAACAACACGAGGCGAGGAGCAGATCGTCCGTACGCCACCGACATTGCTGGGCTAGACCAAGCTCCTCAGCCATATCGACCTCATCTCTCCCAACGCCTTCGCCTTGGGCTCTTGGGTCATCTCCGTGCTCGTCAAACATTCATTTCCAAGCACGGACTTCTCGTCTCGTAAACAGCGCGGGGATTCCCATCGGAGTACCTTTACGCCCACGCACCTGCCCGGCTCGACCTCCGAGCAATCCCCAACCGGCAAGGTGCAACGTCTTTCCCGGGCGGCGTCGCGTCTATCTGCCGTATAGCACAGTGTGCGAAGACATATCTCGAGATCATTGCCCCGAGGCACGCCGTGCCGGGCAGTGTCTCGGCCAGCATTTCCCGTGATAGCATGAGCTCGCCGCAGCACGTCGCCGCAACGGCCTCGCTGCGCTCGCGTCCCATTTCTGTACATAACGGTAAACACCCCCTTTGACTCGCGGTCGCTACAGTTGCCGGCCGCACATGTCCAACACGTTGTGCGCAGGAGTGACGGCTAAAGGCAGCACGCCCAGCTTGGGGTCGCCGGGGACATTAATGCCCGCGCCCACCACCAGGTACTGTTCAGGCCCTCCCAGTGCCATTCACGCTCTGCGGACATCGTCCGTGTTCGTTCCTGTGCTTCGCGCAGCTCCCATAGGCTCTTCCTCCGACGCGCTCGAGTGCGACCCACCCGCATTCTCACCGCCCCCTCTGACGATCTAGCCCGCGCGGCCATCACCCAAGGTTCTCCCAGGTCGCATTCAAATGCACGGTGAGCCCCGAGCGACGACCGTGGTAGATGAGCTCCCTCCCCTCCCCATCCCGCCTCCTGGAGGCCCCCACCTTTTGCCCCCGACACCCCCTCCCCGCGACACGCTGTCACTCCCTGGGTTCGACTCCATGCGTGGTGGAGCGTACAGTCCTGGACTGCTTTCTCTGACTCCCCAGCCGGGTTTCTTGACCCCGCGCTCGTTCAACACGTTGTCGCCTCCCCTCGTGCACACGCCCGGCGCCCACGAGTAAGTCGCGCATTGCGGTCTAGACGCGGATCCAGGTGATAGCGATCGCTCACATCTGCGCCCGCGATCACAGCGTCGAGCTCCTAAACGAGCTCCACGAAGCGAGCATCTCGCCCACGCCCATCCACGAGATCCTGCGCGACCCCGCAGTGCTCAGCAGCCTCCTCTCACACCGCAAGAAGCCACGCCGCGCGTCCTCAAGCTCGCAGACCCCGCGCGGGCGCACCCCATCCTCTGAAGATGTCCCCCCTCTCCCTGAGCGGGAGCGCGAGCGGGCGCTTCCCCCGCGGGAGTCCAGCCGTGCGCGCGAGCGCGAACGCAGCCGGGACCGCGAGTCGACACGCACGACGGACACCGCATCGACGGTGAAGCCGCGCAAGGAGAAGCGCGATCGGGAGCGCGATCGCGACAGCGACAGTGCGTCGATCCTCACACACGTGCTTGCGGAGGAGGAGCGGCAGGCGCGGCACCTGAAGGCGGTCCTGCGGCAGACGGGCGCGCGGCTCGAGGAGGAGCTGCGGCGCGCGGACCTCGCCGAATCGCGCGCGCGCACGGCGGAGATCACCGCGCAGGACCTCAGCGCGCGACTTGCGGCGTCGGACGCGGCGCGGCACCAGATTGAGCTCGATACGACGCGCGCACAGGAGGAGTGCAGGCGGTGGCAGATGCAGGCGGATGCGGCGGAGCGCGAGACGCGCAGGCTGCAGGCGGAGCTTGGACGTTCGGAGAGGGCGCGGCTGGAGAAGGAGCAGGATGAGAAGGAGGCCCGGGAGGCCGCGCGGAGGGTGGAGCAGACGTTGAGGGAATGGCAGGCGAGAGAGGCGGGCAGAGAAGAGGTGCGCAGAATGGAGATAAGGAGACGAGCGACAGATCACCGTGACGAGGGGTATGAGAACGGACGCGCGGAGGGCTACGAGACTGGCCGCGCCGATGGGTACGATGAAGGGCGCGAGGAGGGCCACCGGGAAGGGTACGAGACGGGGCGTAGTGAAGGCTTTGCCGCTGGCCGGATGACGGGCTTCGAGGAGGGTAGAAAAGCTGGCTTTGAGGAGGGTAGGAAGGCCGGCTTCGACGAGGACAGAGACGCCAGCTACTCGGAAGGGTACGAGGCGGGCTACGCGCAGGGCCGGAAGGAAGAGCGAGCGCGGGCCCTCGATGCCTTCGACCGCTTTGTCGAGACTGAGATGGACCACCGGAGGAGCGTGTCTGACTTCGGGGTGAGTGGCCCACCTGAGCGTCGTGTATACCCTGCTTGAGCTACTCGATACTCATCGACGTGATTCGTGTATTGCGCACAGGATGACCGCACTCAGCGGTGGGTTGAGGCCACCCGGAAGATGCGCGAGCGCGAGCCATCCCCTCTCCCCTCGCACGAAGTCCCTCACAGAGCACCCTCGGAAGTCAGGAGTCCTCCGCCGTATCCTAACCCCGCGCCCATGGGGCGCGAAGCCCTTCCAGCTCCCCTACCGGTGCGTGCAACACGAGACCCATCCCCCGCACCGAAGCTCGTCTGGCTTCACCGACCGCTCAATCGCCAACAGGAAGCGGGGGAACCCCTCTCAAGGAGTCTTCCCTCCATTCCCGAGCAGCGAGCCTAGAGATGTCTGTTTACTGCTGTATGCCTTGATCGTGTCAAGGGGTGGTGCCGATCGGAGTTGCGTTTGTTGGACTGTGGCTGTATGAGCTAGGATTTAGGACCGTTCCGTGAAGCCGTCTGCTTAGATACTAATGTTATACCGCGTATCTCGGATTTGGACTGTCATAGTGTACTCGCACCGCTCTGTTGTATAGTTCCATGCTGCGTCGATACGGATACTTATGAGTCGCAACGCGGCTTCAAAGTCGATACGCCTGCCATGTCTGGTACGTGCTGGCCCCTGTAACCGATAGGTCAGCCCATCATATATGTGCGCTATGAGAGACACGTACCTGCCGTTGCGGAAATGCTTGTGGTGGATGGACACAGGAGTGAATGAGGGCCTTAGTCACGTACAGTGACGAGAGTCAATCAACGCGACTGACTTCCTCCAGCAAACTCTGCAGGCTTACGGGGCGATATGACAAAACAGAAGACTCACCAGTAGCTACATCATTGTCATACGGTACAGAGATCGCAGTACAGTGCTAACGCGACTGGTCAGACACCGGGGGTCGAAAGTAACGGAGGGCGATTCGTTAGGGCGACAAGACGTGGCCGCAGTGACGTATCACTGATAGGACTCCTCTGGTGTTGTCGGGCGAAGGCCCAGGTTTGAATGACCCGCAGTGGAAGAGAAGGCACCCGCAATGGCTGTGCCCTTGTGCAGGCGGTGCAATGCGCGAGAACAGGACGGCGTCTATGCACTTTTCCGGGAGGAGTGAGCCACGATCTGATAGTCGTCGAGAGTGTGTGCGGTTGCCCAGGCGGTGTCCATTCACTTGCTTATGTGGTGATAGCGGGGTTGCCTTGAGGGTCCCCATGGCGCAGAGGGTTCGCGCTCGTTGCTCTAACGAATGATGGTCGAACGTTAGGGTGTCAGGATGTCGAGGTCAGAGATCATCGACGTAACCTTGTATCGAACTGCGAGGGAAGCCGTCTCCGGGCTCCTCGGGAGCGCCTGGGATAGGTGTGCAGTGGACGCTTTCGCGAACGGCACAGTGGCATAGTCTTGAACGGCGAGATTCGGGACCGCAAAATGTTGAGATCAATGTTGTGTCGTGACAACGATGGCCCTCTGAGCGGCGAAGAGATGGGCTCAGCCTCAATTGATTTATGACGTACTCTGACAGAACATGTTAGCATCACCACAGAAACTCGAAATGTCTACGAAGCTCACGTATGTTGATCTCAATTTGAATACGGCTCCAACTTCATAACATACATACCAGTCACTAGGTTAAGACAGAGTAGACCGTACGGTCGTGTAGCGACAACCAAGGTCGACTGAGGTGTTCTACAAGATACTGAATTAGGACGAGGCAAGGTATATAAGCACATACGCAGTGTGTCCGCTCGAGCTTAGCATCTCGACAGGGGTACAAGATGCGAATATGTTGTTGTGCAGCGTCACTGCGGTCGCTCTGAAGATATTTGCGTAATTTGAGGGGTCTTGCCCACGGAGGTGCGAGAGTGGTGATTACCTAGAAGCTGCGCCGTTCCTCAACAGTTTGTCTCACTTCAAAAAGCTCCGCCCCAAGCCTGCACGTCCTCAGCGCTCTTCGTCCATCTTCCACTTGTACAGCCCGATGATTGCCTCCGGTGAATCTGGGGAACCTGTGCAAGCATTTCTTGAATCAGCGGAGCGGAGCCAAACGGGGTGAAAAGCAATGCGAAGAGGGCGAGCGCTGCAAAGGACTGATGAAGATGATCATGATGGATCAAGCCACTCCTACTTAAGGTCCACCTTTCCTCTTTACCTTCACCACCACCGGTCGCCAACGCTACACTCGTCGTCAACACTCACCCCAATTCTCCAACGACGACTACCACGATGAGCACGGTAGCATTGCCCCCGACCCCCAAGTCGCCCAGCGTGGGTGCCCGTCGCAAGGGTCCCAAGCAGCTCCCCAAGCTCCCGCTCTCCGCTTTCACGCCTCCCAACACCGGCACGTCCGAGCAATTCCCCCTTGCGCCAAGCCCAAACTCGCTGCAACCAGAAACTGTTGTCGATGGCCATGTAATCGCTCCTGATGGCAGCCTCACTAAGTGGAAAGAGCAGACAGGCCAGGCCTTGGGCGGCAGGATAAGAGGTGTTGTGCTGTCACTGCATGGCGCGCCCGAGGAGGTGGAGAAAGTCGTTCAAGAGTACGTCCATCTCGCTTAGATTGCTCTGCGCATTAGCAGGTGCTGCGCGGATCGCTTACGGCGTCCTCCTTAGCATCCAGTCTAGCGCATCGAGTTCGACGACACCCATCCTGGCCATCGCTGTTCCTTTTGTCCTCGAAAATGGCGTACCCACATCGCCGCCTTCCTATCTCACCGCGGACGCCTCTGCGAAACCCACGATTGTGCTCTCGACAACGTTCAAGGAGTCGACACCGGCAGCAATCGAGGCGCTCGCATGGGCTCTCACACAAGGTTTCACCGTGAACATCGACATCCAGAGTGATCTGCAACAAGAGAGCGGTTGGGAATCGTTGGAAGTCCTCCTCACGAAAGCCACTGAGAGCCAAGACGCGAAGGGCAAGATTGTTCTATGTGCGTATCTCCTATTTTGGTCGTCGGTGCGGCGGGATACGCGAAACAGGGATCGGATCGGCGCGCACTCGTCCCATTTTGGCAGGCGCTGTCGTCTGCGCCCCTGCCGTCGAGTCTCTGGAGAAAATGCTGAGACTAATAATTTGTCCGTAGCCAACATCCTCCCCCCGCCCGACAGCCTCGCCCTCCCCATCGTGAAGCTCCTCACCCACCAGCTCTACCGTAGCTATCAGGCCCACATCGCCTCGCTCTCCCTCTTCTCCAACCTCTTCGTCAGCTTCCTCCCCCCCGCATGGGGAGCTCCTACTCCGCATACACCCGCGCCGACCGGCGTCGACGTGGACAGTGAGGAGAGCAGGGAGAAGGCTGCTCGGCTAGAGTCGCAGGAGGCCGGGGAGTGGAAGCGCCGCATCAAGATGTACAGTGCGTACCCTCGATGCTATACTATTAAGGCAGCGCTGAGATGTTTCATTCACAGTTGGCCCGACTGTCGAGGCGTTCGGCTTCTCGCGCATCTTCTTCGGATCGTCGCCCTCCGCGCCGCTCACCGCGACCACGCCCGCTTCAAGGGCGGGCGACTGGTTCGAGCTCGCCCGGGAGTCGTTTGCGGAGCTCGGCGTCGAACAGGACGCGATCGACGCCGTGTTTGCGGAGAACGCAAAGCAGGTCTATGGTGGTTCGTCATAGGTGCAGCCTGATTTGCTGTGCTTGTGGTTCGCTTCTTGGATGTGCGCCGGATGGAACTCATGAATTGGCGATATGGCCTTGTAAGATGCGGCGAGTCTGTTAGATGTTATGACTAACATATTTATGTGGACTTTGATCTGGACGGGGCGGAGGTACAGAATGTCAATGATAATGTGCGCGTATGCTACGCTGTAACGAAGCGGCGTCGTTCCTATGAAAGCCTACCAGTGAGTACTGCCGCACTACTGGTCGTGCAGTTACGGCGAAGTTGAATCAGTACAGATCAGCGAATTGTACGGTATGCTATGCTATGTAGCGTTGTGCTGGGGTTCCAGGCAGTGATTTATACAGGGCGACGTCATTTTATTACACTCGAAAGGTTACAACGACCTGGTACGACCGCGGAGGCGTGCTACCTCGATTGACTCTTTCCGAGAAGGCTTCGAATCTGGGCAAGGTGAGCACTGTTTCATTGCACGCAATGATGGTGTACACTCACCAACGTATCAGTGGAGCTGGGGTGTGGTCCAGTCGATCCACTGGGCAGCGTTCCAGGTGACGCCGTTGAAGACCTTGTTCGAGTCGAAGAAGGTCGTGCTGACGTTCTGGCCGAGCAGGAAACGGTTGAAGAACGCGTTGAGCTGCGGCGTGAGCGACGACGGCCACGCGCAATGCGCGTGCCCGCCGACCTGCTCGAACCCGTGGTGGTCCGCAACCCCGAGCGCGTCCCACACGGTGTGTGCGGCGGTCATGCACCCGAACGAGCTGAGCGGGCTGAGCCACACATAGTCCGTGTTCTCGAACGAGATCATCGGGCGGGGCGCGATGAGCGCCGCGAGGCTGTGGTGGTCGAACGGCAGCGTGTTCAGGTTGTTGACGTAGTTCGCGAAGTTCGTGGAGAACCACACGTTCTCAGTCACGATCTCTGTCGCGGTCTGCACGACCGAACCCTGGTCCTGCTCGTACTTGGACAGCCGCCAGCACGCGTCGCCGCCCGAGCCGGACTCCTGCGGGATCGTGAGCGCGATGCGCGGCTCGAGCGCGCCCGCCATCAGCGCGCCCTTGCCGTTGCGCGAGCAGCCCGTCACGCCGATCTTCTGCGTGTTGATGTTCGCCGAGGGGGTCTGCTCGAGCGCGTCGATGATGCGGCTCACGCCCCACGCCCACGCTGTCATCGCGCTCGCCGTTGCGGTCTTGCCGTAGAGATTGTAGAACAGACCGACACCACGGCTCGTCGACGCGTCGTTCTGCTGGGCCATGTCGGAGTTCTCGAAGATGAGGGTCGCGATCTGCAGTTGGTGTTAGTGCATGCTGCAAAACACGCATAGCTGCATTACTCACGCCAGCGGGGACGGGGATGCTCAGGCCCTCGTAGACGATGAGCAGCGGCCATCCACCAGCGGGCGGGTTGCCAGACGGGAATGTGATCTTGGGCGCAAAGGTGATGGAGGAGCCGCTGTTGCTTGCGGTGATCGTGAGCGTCCCAGAGGTCCCAGACTTCGACAGCGAAGCCGTCAGCGAAGACGGCTTCCCGGGGAGAGCGCCAGCCTCGTAGCCCTGGATGAGCGCCAGGAGCTGCTGGCTGCGGCACTGCCAGTCCGCCGCGGACTGCACTGGGGTCCCGTCGTTGAAGATGAAGGGGTTCGGGAGCTTCGCGTTACTGAAGCCCGAGACGGTGGACGCCGTCGCGCAGGCACCTGCTGGGCTTGTGGGCGCAGGGGCCGAAGTCGCTGGGGCCGTGGTGGGGCTGGCGGGAGTGGTAACGGGAGCACTAGTGACAGGCGGCGGGGCGCTCTGGGCAGCTCCGGGAAGACATTGTCTAAATGCTTCATGTCAGATGGGCCGTACCGTGTAGGATGAACAGACGTACGAATAGTACGCGTTCATGACCGTGCATGTCGTGCCAGAGACGCAAGCTAGAAACAAGAAGATGAGTAAACCCGCTGCGCCGAACCGGTATGCAGGACGTACTCGTGGCACCGCTCCATCCAATACCGCCGCATTGTCCTATAGGCAAAAATAGTCAGGAATCCGAAGCGAAATTATGAGAAATTAAGGAAGGAACACACCCCACTCGGCAGCCTGACCATGGACAATCCGGACAAGGGCGAGGGCCACACTCAGCTGCACCGCGGTGAAGAGCTGCATCGTGACAGGCGAAGGTTCTTCTGCGGGGAGCCCTTCGTTATTCAAGGCCGTTTTATAGCTCGACGGGGGGCACACATGGCACTCCCGGAACGCAGGCGCGCCCGAGAATGCTCCCGTCACAGAATTGTGTGTGGCAGACACGGGCCGCCGTAGAGTGGGCCCTTACGTGCCAGTGGGCTTCGCGTCTTCAGCTCGGGACCATAGATGCGTGCCCCGTGACTGGCACGGATCGTCGAGGTAGCTGTCAGCGTAACGTATTGGAAGAAGGCGAAGGCAGACGTCACAGAGGAGGTGAGGTGTAATGGTCGGTTGTTTTTCGCGGTGCTTGGCACACTTCGCGTACAGCATATTCGGACCAACATCGGGCGCGCCCTGGGACTCACCCCTTGTTTAGCTCGACGTCGAGGCGGATATACGGGAGGTGTCAGCGATCGGAGGCTTCTGGCCATCAGAGACGCTATGGGTGCTCCGCTGGCTTCTGGGCTGATGACAGCTAGGTTTGGTGTTTCGCCGATGAGGCTATTTAAAGGAGGCTGTAAGATGCGACAGGTGACGAAAGCGCATGACCAGCAATGAACAGGTCAAGGAAACGGAACAAGAAAGCGAATGTCCGCCCTACTGACGAGAGTTGCTCCGACGGTCATTTGCGGTCCGCACGATGCATCGGCGCCCGGCTCCCGGGGAAACAAAAGTGGGTTTGGGCTGTCTGCGGCTCCGCGTGGGGACCTGATCGCTTTCAAGCAGTCGTTCAGACATCGAATTCGCGATGGCACGTGGAGACAGAACGCCCGAGAGTCCATGCGGGTCTAGACAAATCGCGTCTGCGAACAGTTGCCGCAAGAAGCGCATTCAACACACCATGGCGAGTCGTCTCCGCCGATATGCAATGATTGTCATGTCGTACAGACGTCGTATGGCATGCCAGACAAGTGCCTAACAGAGTATTATCAGCGTGAAACGGAAGTCCGGGTGGAAGACTGGCACCTGGTGGCGGAAAGGACGCCTAACCAGCGCTACTATACAAAGTACTGCGTATCCCTGACGAGCAAGGATATTCACACTCACAGGAGGGACTTAATGTGAGCTACGTCATTTCTCACCTAAGGTACCATAACCTTGAGCTTCAACCTCAGTGAGGGTAAAATTGACGAGCAAGGATACGCGCCAGCAGGCGCCGCGGGCTTCGAGTACGTCAACTGCGGTCAAGTGCGTGAACGTCGCGTACTCACGGGTACTGGAATAGCGACGTGTACATCATAGAGAACCAGTGGATTTGGTTCTTCTGAACACGGGTACGGTGGAGGGATCCACATTGAGATTTCGGACCTCTAGTCTTGGTAGCTTTGAGTTCAGGGGGGCAACCATACCGCCCGAGAAACACGTAAAGCCTTCGAACTCTAGCCACAACAGCAACGTTCACTGTCTCATCGCAGCTCTTGCCTTACCTTCAAGTTGCACACAAGGCAATTCACGGACGTACGCTGGTGCTTATCAAGGACAATGTGCTGGCAGATAAGCCCTGCTGGTCGATGCGGCGGCGTTGCGACAGTGTAAGAGCCCCCCCTTCCACTGGTAGTCGGACGCATACTCCGCTCGGCCAAGTCTGCAAAGATGGACGCAGCATTGTACAAGGACTTCAAAGTCTCTCGAGGACTCACCTACCACTATTTTTACTCCCCGGCGACGGCGGGGTACCCAACCCTTCTATTCGTGCACGGCTTTCCTTCCAGCTCGTTCGACTGGCACAGGCAGGTGGAGCACTTCAGGCCCAAGGGCTATGGCATTCTCGCGGCGGACATCATCGGCGCCGGTGGAACGTCCAAGCCAGACGACCCAGATGCGTTCCGTCTCATTTTGATTGCGGCGGACATCGTCGACCTGCTTGACGCCGAGGGCTTGGACAAAGTCATCGGGATTGGGCACGACTGGTGACGTTCTTCGTCATTTTCAAGCAAGCATTTTGGTACTGAAACGCACATGTCGATTCTGCGAATAGGGGGTCCGTTATTTTGTCGCGCATTGCGAACCTGTTCGACGAGCGTTTCCATGCGTATGCCTGGATGTCTGCTGTGTATTGGCCGCCCCAACCGTCTCCAATAGACATCGATGCTCTTATCGAACAACTGAAGGCGCAGACCGGAGACCCGCGGTACGGCTACTGGGAGTTCTTCACTTTGGATGGCGCACACGAGCTTTGTGACAAGAATGTAAGCGCACCTTATTGAATTTCTCGTTCTGTTATCGACCTGAGGTCTCACATATAGATCGACTCGTTCCTGCAACTTCTGTACCCAGATCCCCCCGAGCTGTGGCTGGAATGGCTCACCCCGGTGGGGAAGACCCAGCAGTGGCTGATGGAGAATCGTACTCCTGGGATCCCTTCTTGGCTAACGCAGGAGGTGAGTATCATCTTACTGAACATAGCAAGTGTCGCTTTACGCCATCGATAGGAATATCGCACACTGCGCGAGACTCTCAAAAAAGGCGGCCTTGAGTCGATGCTCAGTTTCTACATAGCGGCGGTCAGAAACCTGAACGTCCCAGATGACGAAAGTGAGCCACACCTGCTCGTGATCTCGCCGACTGACGTTGACGTCTTCCGGGCCTTTTCAGACATTCCCCGGGAGACCTGGACGATCTGCAAACCGGCGCTGTGTGTCCTCACGCTCCGCGACGCTGCATGCGCGCCTTCCATGCAGATGCCGATCATAGAGAAGTACCTACCACATGCGAAGGTGGTCGAGCTGAACGTTGGCCACTGGGTAACCTTCGAGGCGACCGAGATGCTGAATGCAGAATTAGAAAAATGGGTCGAAGGACTTGGTTTGCGAAGCTCTGCCTAGGAAGCACGTGCGACAGGTCCTATTTGTATATGTGAACTCGACGTAACCTTCTGAATGATGCGATGAATAGCTCACGAATTTGGTCTCTCGGCGTGCCAGCCTGAGTGAGCAATGACAATGTAATTGGATGATGAAAGGCCCACTTCGGCTTCGGGCTTCCCATCTTCCCATCGAGACAGCCAAAGGTAGGTTTACCCCATCCTATGACAGTGCAATCCCCGATGAGAAAAATGACGGCCATTGCACTGTCAGGTGAGCTCCCGGCAGTCCTCTTCCCTGTCACCTGTGTCAGTCTTCGCTCGGGCAGAAGTCTTCATGACTTGATGACCACAAAGCTGACAGACCCCTGATTATCGGAACAGCCGACCTATAAGGCGGAACTTCTCCAAGTGTTAGTCGAACTCCCCGAACGGTCCCCGTGAGCCTATCTTGAGGATGGACTCCTCCCTCTACAAGGACACCACCGTCTCTCGCGGGTTTACATACCATTATTTTCGTTGCCCTGCCACCCCGGGGAAGCCGACGTTATTATTCTTACACGGCTTCCCGTCAAATTCGTACGACTGGCGACGACAGGTCGCGTACTTTCGGCCCAAGGGCTATGGTCTCCTTGTCTCGGATATCATAGGCGCCAGAGGCACCGCAAAGCCGGATAGCGCAGACGCATTCCGCTTCTCGCTGATCGCACGCGACATCATCGACGTACTCGACACAGAAGGGCTACAGACAGTCGTCGGGATCGGCCACGACTGGTGAGTAGGCGCGAAGCGGTGGCCTGGTGACTGCTTACTCACCAAATCGGTTTTGCGCGCATGCGTAGGGGTTCGGCCGTGCTCTCGCGCCTCGCGAACCTTTACAGTGAACGATTCCACGCCTTCGCCTGGCTCGCGCTCTCATACGTCCCGCCCGCGTGGCAAACGTCTGGGCTTGCGAACGAGGATGCGAAGAATACGCAGTTCGGATGCTGGGAATACATGTCGCGGGACAACGCCTACGAGATGCGCGAAAAGAATGTGAGCCTGCCCTGCAAGATAATTAAACGACTTACGCTAACTTGAGATTACGCCTCGGTACCGTACAGCTGGATAGCTTTCTCCAGCTCGCCTATCCGGAGTCTCCTGAGCTCTGGCACGAGTCGTTGTCGCCGTTGGGCAAGACTCAGGCGTGGATAGAAGCGAATCGCAGACCCGGGCTTCCCGAATGGCTGTCCCAGGAGGTAAGCAGCCCGCCTTCAGCGTGAAACAAAGCTCTGATGAGCAATGATCGCCAGGAGTACGACGTTGCACGCGAGATGTTATCGAAGGCGAGACTCGAGTCGCCTCTGAACTACTACAAAGCCATGGTCAGCGGTGCGAACACGCAAGACGAGCAGAGTGCGTAATGGCACTAAATCTCTATGGCGGTCCATTTGTACATTTATTAATTTTAGCGCATAGTCAGTTTATCGGCGCACACAGCCACACTACAACACATAAGTACGCTTTTCTTACCTAGCGCGCACATAAGTCCCATGTAGCGCGCACACAGTGCGAACACAGCGCGCAAAATTGCCCACCAGGGAGTTATCCGGAGGATCAGATTGCCCAATAAGGAAGGCAAAAAAGGGCGGCCCCATCAGGAATCGAACTTGCAAGCCACTCAGAAACAGGTAGGTGTTTCTACCAACTCGGCCACTAGCTCTATGAAGCTGGGTAAACAAAAAGTAACATATAGTGATCAGCAAGCTCATTACACAGGGTCAATCAATCCACGAACTATGGACAGCCTGTCTTTGTTGATGGAGTACATCTCTATTAGTCTTCTTGCATTTATCTTGCTACTAATTGTACAAAGGGGGATACCACTTCGGGCTGAACAAAATCATGAACCAGAGTCCAAATAGTTAGATCGACGAGCGGGCGCCTAATTGCCATGACAGTACGGATCATAAGTAGTACTTATTATGAAGTACTAAGTTCTGCAGCTGGTTATAGAGTACCTCCTAAAAGTTTCCGGTATTGGAATAGGCTTCGCTCAATGATAGTGTATGTAGTATGTCTCAATTGTATCAAATATCAATGAAGGAGTCCACTTCAGCTTCGAGTTCGAAAGGGTACATAGTAGGCCGCCTAAAGAACACGACATAGCCCTATGACACCCTTACATGAATAAAGGCTTGGTGGCCGAGTTGGTAGAGGCGTCTCCAGATTTTATCTGGAGCGCTCGGGTTCGAATCTCTTACAACCCGCTTTTTGAACTACCATAAGAGGTAAACTTAACCTCCGGATAACCCCACGGCCGTAAGTTGTGCGCGTTGTGCGGAATTTAGTGCGCGCGCTGCGTTAGAAAATGCTTAGTTGCGTGCTTTAATGTGGCGGTGCGCGGCGATAAGCTAGTTGCGCGCTATTTTTAATAAATGTACAATCGGGCCATCATAAATCTCGACGTTTGACTGAGACTCACCCTGTCGCCTGCAGGCATACCTGAGGAAGCGCATAGGATTCAAAAACCGGCACTGTTTATCGCTGCGGCGCGCGACTCCGTGTGCACAGCTGCAGGTGGAAAAACAGTGATGGCCCAGTACGCCCGGCACGCCACGATCGTCGAGTTGAACGTTGGCCACTGGCCGCAGCTAGAGGAGACTGAAAGGGTGAATCTGGAGCTCGAGAAATGGTTAGACACGCTCAACCTGGGCGAGCTCTGAGCGACGTACAATTACTGTAGGTATTGCATAGTACATCATCTATGAGAGTGGAGGGTTAGGCAGCAATCCGAGGATTGGCACCTCAAGGCCTAATGGTGGAAAGAATGCCCAACAAACTCCATACGACTGCGCATACGCCAACGCCACGGATTTGGTCGAGGTACAATAGATCCTTGTTGCACTGTTGCAGTAGTCTAGTCTTGGTTGCGAGCGAAGCGAGCATTCAGAGGCGTTCAGTTATTCAGTGTCGACTAAGTAGGGGGTGCCGGGTGCCGGTGAACGTCTGAACCGTCGGGGGGAATGAAACGTCTCCGCGGAGAACAAACATGTACAAATTCCACGGTTCGCAAGCGGGACTTCTTATTTGACCTGCTGTGCGCCCCACTGGTCGGCTCTCGCTCTATAATCTAATCAAATCATATTTAAAGCTATGATGGACCACCGCAGAAATTTGGGAGTGCATCCGTGAAAAATTGCGTGAACGAGGCGGCATCGAGTGTGGTTGCAGCCTGAAATTAACATTTAAGAAGCAGGCGCCCAATCTTGAGGTAAGCGCCAGATAGGTTCCTTCCATCAAAATCGCAAGAACGCGCCAAAACATATGTACGGCGCGCCGAACCTGGTATGAAGCATTGCGTGGCGGCGCGGCGAACACTTTCGGCGACTCGCCTCCGCTAGTAGCCTCAGTTCAAGGCGGCGACCATCCCGCCCGAGAAACACGCAATCCTTTCAACATTCTAACCACAACCAAAACGGTCACCGGCACATTGTAGCTCTGGTCTTGCATCGAACATGAAGCAGCTCATGGATGTGCGCCAGTGCTGACCAAGGACACGATATGCTGATAAACCAGCTATGCTTACCCATGCATTGCGAGAAACAGTATAAGAACGTCCCCGTCCAAAGGTGCTCAGCTCACACTCACCACACTCACCACACTCACTCGAACGCGCAGACCACTCGGCCAAGCCTACAAAGATGGAAGCAGCATTGTACAAGGACTTCAAAGTCTCTCGAGGGCTTACTTACCATTATTTCTACTCCCCGGCGGCGGCGGGGTACCCAACGCTCCTCTTCTTGCACGGCTTTCCTTCCAGCTCGTTCCTCTGGCACAAGCAGGTGGAATACTTCCGGCCGAAGGGCTATGGTATCCTTGCACCAGACAACATCGGCGTGGGCGGGACGTCCAAGCCAGAAGACCCAGAAGTATTCCGCTTCGCCCTAATCGCGCGGGACATTGTCGATCTGCTTGACGCCGAGGGCTTGGGCAAAGTCGTCGGGATCGGACACGACTGGTGACGTTCTCTCCGAATTTTCAGCAAGCTTGTCGACACTAACACGTACCTGACAATTCCGCCAACAGGGGTTCCGCTATCTTGTCGCGCATGGCGAACCTGTTCGACGAGCGTTTCCACGCGTATGCTTGGAACGCCATTGGGTACTGGCCTCCGCGGCCGTCTCCGATAGACATCGACGTCCTCATCGAACAGATGAAGGAGCAGACCGGGGACCCGCGGTTCGGCTACTGGAAGTTTTTCAATTTGGATGACGCATATGTGCTCTGCGACCAGAACGTATGTGCACCTTGTTAGGTTTCGTCCTGCTATTGACAGGTCTTGCATACAGATCGACTCGTTCGTGCAACTTCTCTACCCAGAGTTCCCTGAGCTGTGGTTGAGGTGGATCACCCCGGTGGGGAAGACCCAGCAGTGGCTTGAGGAGAATCGCCAGCCTGGGATTCCTGCTTGGCTGACAAAGGATGTTAGTGTCCCCTCACCGAAGGCGACGAGTGTCTCTTAACGTCTTGAAACAGGAATATCGTACTGTGCGGGAGACTCTTGTCAAAAGCGGTCTCAAGTCGTCCCTCAATTTCTACAAAGTGATGGTCAGAAACCTGAACGTCCAAGACGACAAGAGTGCGCAGCCATATCTGACCGTGATCTCGCCGACTCGTGCTGACGTTTTCCGGGCCTCGTTTAGAGATCCCCCTGGAGGCCTGGAAGATTAACAAACCGGCGCTGTGCATCCTTACGCTCCGTGACGCTGCGGGCGCGCCCGTCATACAGAGGCCGTACATAGAGCAGTACCTCCCTCACGCGAAGGTGGTCGAGCTGGACGTCGGGCACTGGGTCCAATTCGAGGCGACCGAGCGCCTTAATGCGGAGTTGGGGAGCTGGATCGAAGGGCTGGGTCTGCGAAGCTCTGCTTAAGGGAGGACATGGGTCGTGGCCTATGAGTATACGTGAACTTGACGAATAGCATCTGAACAATTTGGAGAACGGCTTACGAAGTTGGCTGGCGGCGTGCACGAGGAGAACGTAACCAGACGACGGAAAGCCCAATTCGGCTGCGGGCTTCGCATCTACTCACAGAAGCACCCGAAAGTAGCTCTGCACCATCCTATCACAGTGCAACCCCCGATGAGAACGTCAACGACCATTGCACCGTCAGGCGAGCTTCCGGTCTTTCGCCTCCCGGTCACCTGTGTGGCAGTCTTACCCTCATGTTCGGGTATTCGAAACCTCTTGATTACACAATACCTGCATTGCACGAGGTCCGCGAAACTGACAGGCGCCAAATCTGTCAAAGCGGTCGACCTATAAGACGGCATCACGCAAAGGGTAGTCAAACTCACCAGACGCTTTCTGCACAAGAACACTCTCAGCATGGATCTCGCGCTCTACAAGGACACAATCGTCTCTCGCGGGTTTACATACCACTACTTCTACTCCCCCGCCGCCTCAGGCCAACCGACGCTGCTGCTCGTACACGGCTTTCCGTCAAGCTCGTATGACTGGCGACGACAGGTCGCGTATTTTCAGCCCAAGGGCTACGGGATCCTCGTCCCGGACCTCCTAGGGGCCGGGGGCACGTCAAAGCCGGATAGCGCGGACGCCTTCCGCTTCGCGCTCATCGCGCGCGACCTCGTCGACGTTCTCGATGCCGAGGGGCTGCAGACGGTCGTTGGAATTGGACACGACTGGTGAGTATGCGCACAAAAATCATATGGTGTCTCATTGCTCACCGAGCATTTCTATTTTGAACGCGTGTGTGCGTAGGGGTTCGGCCGTGCTGTCGCGCCTCGCGAACCTGTACAGTGGGCGGTTCCACGCCTTCGCGTGGCTGGCGCTCTCATACTTCCCGCCGGCATGGCAGACGTCTGGGCTTGCGGATGCTGGTGCGATGAGTACACAGTTTGGATACTGGGAGTACTTGTCACGGGACGACGCGTTCGTGATGACTGAGAAGAATGTAAGTCTATCTATGCATGTGGGCAGGCGACTTCACGCTGACCTTAGATCATCCCTGACGTGGTACAGCTCGATAGCTTCCTCTTGCTCGCCTATCCAGAGACGCCGGACCATTGGCACAAGTCGCTGGCGCCACTAGGCAAGACCCAAGTGTGGATCGAGGCGAACCGGCAAACTGGGCTTCCCGATTGGCTGCCTCAAGAGGTAAGTAAATTCGCTGCAAGGCGAGAGTAAGCTTTGATGGACGGTGGTGGCTAGGAGTACGACGTCATGCGCGAGATACTGGCGAATGCCGGACTCAAGTCCGTTTTGAACTACTACAAAGCCATGGTCAGCGGTGCGAACGCTCAAGACGAGAAGAGTGCGTACCATCATCCGCTCTCAGCGTGTAACCGCGACTCATTGTGTCCCTGCAGGCATACCTTCGGAAGCGCATATGATACAGAAACCAGCGCTGTTCATTGCTTCGGCGTGCGACCCCGTGTGCACAGCGGGAGGGGGCAAAACGGTCATGGCCCAGTATGCCCCGCACGCAACGATCGTGGAGCTCGACGTGGGTCACTGGCCGCATCTGGAGGAGACCGAAAAGGTGAATCTGGCGCTCGAGAAATGGTTGGAAACACTCAACCTGGGCAAGCTCTGAGCGACGATGCGATCACTATAGGCATGGAATCATCTTGTGACTGGCGGTATCGCGTAGTATCTTCGACATTGGGCAGAGTCTATGGAGGCACGAGGGTCGATCAGTAATCACAAATACGGAGCATCTACAAGTCTCCGCGAGTCGCGCGGGCGGTGCGGGCAAATAAAGCATCAATGTGTACGCTTCGGAAGGCAAGATGTTTGGTATGAACCATGGATCCAGTTCGAGGGGCCGGGATAAATGTCGTCTCGCTCCAACAGTCAGTCGACCTACGCCGCTTGGGACATGTTGGCCTGCCATCGATTGCCAAGAGCTTCAGTGCGTGAACTCAGAACACTGCATAGAGTAACAACTTACCGTTTCGGTTAACACTTGCGTAAACGCGACGTTGGCTCGCTGGCGAATCTCCGTTCGTAGAAGCCACCCCAGTCCTGGTCGGATCACCTTACGTAGGCGCGTGCTAAGCGTCTATGTACCGTCGCCACGCCATGGAAGCTGGCACATGTTCACTGCTCGGAAAGCCTCGTGGCCTAGCATTTCGAAAGTTTGCATCAGGCCCCCGCTCACGCCGGGATATGTACACGACATGCGTAGCCGGAGACTTATCCTATCGCACCGCGCATGCACATCTGAAGGCCGCGCATGTAAGTGAGGGTCATCATATTGAGGGGGGGGGGAGCCAACGAACCATCGCCTCACTCGGATCCATGGACGCCTCCCTTTACAAGACCACGACCGTCTCTCGGGAGTTTACCTACCATTACTACCACTCTCCGGCTACAGAGGGCAAGCCCACGATCCTCTTCGTGCACGGCTTCCCTTCGAGCTCCTACGACTGGCGGCGTCAGGTCGAGCACTTCCGGCCCCAGGGATATGGGATTATCATCCCGGACATTCTCGGGGTGGGCGGCACGTCGAAGCCGGATAGCGCAGACGCGTTCCGCTTCGCACTCGTCGCACACGACATAATTGACGTCCTGGACACCGAGGGCCTCAAGACTGTTGTCGGGATTGGACACGATTGGTGAGCGTGCTGTTGAACGACTCTGTGGAACGGTGGCTGACAAGGGTGCAGGGGCTCTGTGATCTTGTCTCGCCTCGCGAACCTATACAGCGACAGGTTCTACGGCTTCGCGTGGCTCGCGCTTTCCTACCTCCCGCCGGCATGGCAGGAGGTCAAGGTTGGTGGAGAGTGGGATGAGACCGGGAGCGAAGGGTTCGGATACTGGGAGTTTTTGACGAGCGACGACGCAGCGGGGCTATGCGAGAAGAACGTCAGTACCGCTGTTCTCTGGATGTGGAAACGGCACATCAACATGCTCACATGGAACCGCTTCGGCGTGTACTAGCTTGACTGCTTTCTCCAGATGGCGTATCCAGTGACCCCGCAGCTCGTCCACGGCTGGAATCTACCCCGGGGCAAGACCCGTGAATGGGTTGAGTCGAACGTCACGCACGGTCTGCCCGCATGGCTCCCCAAAGAGGTTGGCCGAGCTTTCACAGGGGCGCTGGGATGGAACGCTGATAGCCCTCGATCGACAGGAGTACGATATCGTCAAGAACATATGGGTGAAAGGGGGCCTCAAGTCGTCCATGAACTACTACAGAGCGGTTATGACTGGCGCGAACGTGCAGGATGACGAAAGTGCGTACCGACATCCTTTTTGTTGGAAGTGGTGCTCATTCGGTTGTCTGGGGTGGTAAGAAGTGCCAGAGGAAGCGCGCAACATTCGAAAGCCTACACTGTTCATCGCAACAACATTCGACGAAATCTGCACTCCTGCCCTCGGCAAGGCAGTGATGGACAAGTTTGCCCCACAGACGCAGTTCGTCGAGCTGGCCACCGGTCACTGGCCTCAGCTGGAGGATGCCGTGCGCGTGAACGAGGAGCTTCAGAGATGGGTGGAGAGTCTGAACCTCGGGAAGGCTTGAGCGGCGGTGTTCTGCAAGCATGTATGATGACCGCAAAACTCTTGATTACCGCAACGATGTATTAGCATGACATACGAAGAGCGACAAGAACCATGGGATAGCCTTTCGCTCCGTCTACTGCTGCTTGGCCTCGCGCTCCAGCTTGCGCAGGGCGCGGCGGCGAATGCTCTTGTGTAAACCGTGCGTATAGCGCACGAAGGCCATGTTCCAGCCGACGACGTTCTAGTGAGTGCGAGCGCGAGGTTCATAAGAGCAATACAAACGAGAAAGCGAGCACTGCACATACCATAACATAGTCGAGCAGCGAGTGGCTCCAGTAAGGCGTGACAACGCCAGGGCGCTTCGTCCAAAGCGCGCCGCAGGGGAGTCCCACTTTGGACAATACGCTGCGGACGAAGGCCTTCGGCGTGGGGATGAACGCACTGGCCTTACGAATTTTAGACATGTTCGAGACCTGCGGGGTGCCATGCGTTTGGTGGGGCCTAATCACGCGTAGCTGAATGGGAGACACATACGACGAAGTACGTGTTGACGCATTCCACATCGACGCCCTTGCCGCGGACCTCTTCCGCGAGCGAACCGGTGAAAGAGGACAGGAAAGACTTCGAGCCGGCATACGCCGAGAGCATTGGTGATGCGACGCTGACGCCAGAGAAGGAGCCCATGTTGACAATCAGACCGCGCTTCCTGGGGGACGTGTCAGCGCGTGCAGATTGGTCTCGAACGGTAGCGCCGCCGTACCTCTCGACCATGCCAGGAAGGAGCATTTTTGTGAGCCGAACCACAGAAGATATGTTGATGGTCACGATGTCCTCCATGTCCTGGGGCTTCGTGGCGTGGAAGTCCTCTGGGTACTGGTAGGACTTGCCTGCGTTGTTGACTGCAGCGCGCCTCAGCGTCACTGGAGACATAGGGATCAAAGCCGCAGACGTACTGAGAACACCGATGTCGAGACCTGACAGTTCGGTCTCGAGCTTATTCCACTGAACCGTATCATCCAGTTTGGAGAAGTCCATGGTCACAGCCTTTGCTTGAACCTTTCTTTCCCCCGTAGACTTCGATTCTATCACCGTTGGGATGAGTACATAGCTTCACGTTGTAGGAATAACGCCTACCAATCTCAGTGACGAGGGTCGCCAGTGCCGAGGCGTTGCGGGCGGATACAACAACGTTGAACCCCTTCTGTGCGAGCTGAAGAGCGAATTCGCGACCGATCCCCTCCGAAGCACCAGTCACCACTGTCCACAGATGTCAGGTTGACGTATAACGCGTCAACAGTATGCACAAGGCGTACCTGCCCATGCACCCTTTCCAGCACCATACTTCTTGAGCTGTAGCGTTCAACGTACGTACGAAGGTCAGTGAACGTGCTTGCATACGAATATTTCAAAACGCACACTCTTCCCAGAGACAACGAAGGTTTGAAAGAGGACGAGGAGGGTCTTGAATGCAAACCTAGCGAACGAGAAGGAGCCGACGGCAAGCAAGAAGAGCGCAAGCTTCGGATAGTCCGTCACTAGTCTACTGTCAGGATAGGCTGAGCCTGTATATGAGCTCTTCATGCACACCTATGGCATGCGAAGACGGCACAGAGACTGCAGAGAGTATGTTGGCCATGCCGAGGATGGGGTCGGGGTCGAGGTCAAGAGCAGACCTTACGTCTCGGGCGCTTGTTCTGCGACGCGTCTATACGCGCCAAGACACGCGACACCATTTCTGAATCTTTGGCTCTCCCCCTCACCAAGCCCTGTCCTACCATGAACCGAATTGCGACATTCCGGCCTACCACCGCGTGAGGATACTCCGGGAACGTTCACAGCAGCCACAGAGGATATGCTGCATATAGTGATTGAGGGAACGTTGCGGAAGCATGAGTCAGTACGTCAAGCGGAAAGCACGCCCTGGCGGTTCGCGACTTCGCATGCCTCCTGCCTTCCGCCTCTTCCAGTCATCATCAGATCGATAGTGACCCCTTGCCAGTCTGTGAAGCAAACGCACCTACACTAGCTCGCAAGCCTTCGTCCGAGGACAGAACGAACCAGCAGGCTCTGGCCAGTAGAACCATTTTGGCACACGCAAACCCGATGGAGAACCTCTATACCTTCAAGATCCTGGACGGGTCGCACATTACGGACGAGCAGCTCAAGGCATGCGCCACGCTGTTTAGCAACAATTACGGGGTCTGGGCTCCTAATGCACCAGCTCCATTGAAACCTGGTAAGCATCATATCTCCTCAGTAGTGTAGGTTGCATCCTCTGAATCTGGATGGTTTTGCGTAGGAGCGCGCGTTAGGATGTCCCCTGCTAAACTTCGCAAGGAGTGCTTGAGCGACCCAGACAAGTCCCTGATAGTGACATGCACCCTAGAAGGCGGGCTCGTTGGACATGCGTGCATCACGAAATGGCGCTACCAACAAGGTATCCAGATTCGACCACATCATGGACGTTGGAATGGTCGTTTAAAACCATCTTACAAGGCTACGTCGGCTGGGTCACGCAGCTCGTTGTGGACAATGAGCATCGTCGACGACACATCGCGACAGACATGCTGCGTATGCTCAAGCAGCATCATCCTTGGGTTGACAACGTGACGATCATGGGCATCGCGTCCTCCCATCCAGCAGCCTGCAATAGTCTCTGTAATCTCTTCGGTAATATTTCAATTTGCTCACTTGTTCCCTCTATGTTCGCTGAGCATCTTGCGGCAGATGGTAACACCCGGGACGTCGACCTCCCATTCATAACCCTGCACGCCGCAGCGGCGCTGAGGTGCTCTCCCATTCCGTATCTGAGTGCCGCGCCTCCCTGCGGAGCCCTCGCCGGTACGCCAGGCGGCTCGTATTCAGCAAACACCTCATTTTTCGTCGACCACACTGAGCCTCTGGGGATCCTTCAATCGTACGTCAAGGGCGACAAGTGGGCGTTCGGGGAGCTGCTCGACGGACACGAGTTCCTAGTTCTCATTCCCGTCCCCGGACGTTGATAACCGCGAGGTGTAATCCGCGCCTCATGTACCATACTGATTATCTCGCTTGCGCAGGCATAAGCATACAGCATTTCCAGAACACGTTCCTCCCTCAGGTCGCGACGACGACCTGGTAAGGGACAGGCCCATTGATGTGAATGCTGTCGACAGTCCCGCCGGTCTTGAGCGCGTGTGCCTTCATGCGCTCGACCTCCTCTATGATTGTCGCGTCTTTCCCGGCGCGGGTCCATGGTACGAACCGCCTTCGTGGCGCCGCGATCTTCCAGTCGGGCAGGCTCTCCACCCCGAGCTCTCGCAGGATCTTCAGCTCGACGAGCGACTACGCATATCCAGTGCGTGTGTCAGCGAGGGGCGGGGTATGCGGAATGTGCGAGAAGGGCTCACGTATTCCTCCGGGTTCGCGCGATTGAGGTTGAGTGGCTCTTTGAGGGTAACGGGCGGGTTTGTGATGAAGCGCGGAATGCGCAGGTGGTTCTTCGACGCAGAGTGCGGCTGCGTAGACGTCAGTCACCGACCTTCGTGGACCAAAGAGAATACATACCATGAAGGGGTGCAGGAGGATCACGTCGCCGGCCTCGCCAGTGAGCTACGTTCGACATCCGCGTTAGCTATGCCTTCCCCCTGTACCATGGGGTGTGCTACACACTTCGATAAATTGACTGCATGACTGGATCGAGCAGATAGAACGGCTCCCGTCCGGGTCCTGCGTTATCTGGTTCACGCTCTCAGGATGTTCGTACAGCCTGGGCGTTATCCTCAGCTTGCGAAGCAGGCATATCGAATTCTGTCGCAAGCACACCATTGCACGACGTTCTTGATCCCGTCCGGAGCGATATACGTTCCACCCGCTCGCGGGACGATGTCGTTGAAGAGCACGATGACCGTTAGACCCTGCTCCCCAGAGTCGAGGAAGTGTGTAAACCTGGTGCATCTCTTAATACGGTGTCTATTGTATAGCGAACTTCAGCACGTACCAGTCTCCGTCTCTGTGGTTGAGCTTGTAAAGACAGCTTGTGAGCAGCCGTCAAGAACGAATTGCTTACATGTGCCAATTTCCTAGATCCTTTGGCTGTATCTCTTTCTGTACCGAACCGTGAGCTTTCGTCGCTCCTACAGCCGTCATGGCACAGACTCGGAACGTACGTCGACCCATTCATCCGAGCCCAGGTTTACGATCAGGCTATCACCACAGCTCTCGAAGAGCGTGGGGTCGATCTTGTCCTCCCCGCCCAGAAGCTCACCTGCCCGAGCGGCCTCTAGTCAGCGTCCTCCCTGCCCGGACACATATCAACAGCGACGCGCACACATCGCGCCCCACGCCTTGGGCATGAACTCCCCGGTCGGGATCTCGCGGTGCCGTGGCATGTGGATCTGTGCAATGCCGCGCCTTCAGTCCCTCAAAAGTTGGGGAACCGCTCGTAAGCTGGCCTTCTCCTTCGTCCAGGTCGCCTTGTCCTCCGGGTTGTAGCCCAGACGAACCCAGACGTTCTCAGTGAACGCCCGGAGGTACTCCTCCTTGACCGCCTTCGGGATCTTGATCCATCCGTGCTGGAGGAAGTGCTCGCGCTGCTCGGGGGTGAGGTACTTGTATTCGGTGACGGCCATCGTAGCACATCTGCTGGAGGTCTCGGACGTGGGACGAATGCAAGAACAGATGTTATCTGCGTGCATATACCGGCGTCCAGCACAGGCGGAAGACGGACCGAGATGGCCATATGACCCATAGCTACTGAGGTCATGCAATACAGCTGTTCGGTTCTTGGATAGGCAGGAATAGGCATATAAGCAAGCATTCGGGGAAACATCGACAAAATATGCCGCACACGGCAAACGAATAGCGTCCCAGCACGAGTTCCAACGTTCGAGAACGTACAAGTACAACCACCTACAGCAGTACGTCAATAATGGTTTACATTTTCCCCAAAAGGAGATCTGCCATGGACTTACAAGTGCGTATATACACCCAACGGGCCTCCGCTCATCCTCAGCACAGCCGCATGCTACGGCCCGTCTGGGTGCGCAATCGTCCACTGCCCATGTACCTCCCGCAGAAGCGTCAGATACTTCTTCGCCTGCATCCCCGTAGTGATCGGCGGCGTCTCCTCCAGCACCTGGCACACCCGCTCGTCCTCGCACCGCGTCCCGCCCGGCCCATACAGCGTCGTCAGCACGAGTGTCTCCGTGCAGTCCTCGCCCCAGCTCAGCGACAGGTTGAACGCGCGCATCACCTGTGCCTATGCAGGTTCGCCCAACCCGTTAGTACTGCACACTCAGAGGAACACAGCCACACACCTTGGTGATGGTGACGCCGCCCGCACCCTCGAGGTCGACGGGTGTCCTCGTGCCCACATACCGGTCCATCACGCGCTGCACATACTTGTACTGCTCGAGCTGCTCCGACATCTTCAGCAGCCGCGTCCGCATCGTCACGAACGAGTCCCACTGCGGCTCCTTGCTGATGATGCCCCGAATCCAGAGCCCGATAATGTTGTCAAGCGCAGATGTCGATGCGCCTGACAGCGTCGGTGCGAGCGACGTCGCAGACGGCGCCAGCGTCATAGGGGGCGAGAATGAGGAAGACGGCATGGAGACGGTGGACAGCGAGGGAATAGGCGGGAGGGCCATTCGACCGCCGCTGCTCTGTCTCGGGGTGCTCCGACTGGTGTCTGCTTGTCGGCTCTGGAAGGTAAACGAAGACCCGTACTGCTCGAAAGGGTTTGGCTTCTTCGGCGGTGGCCCTGATTTCGGGTCCTTGCTCGATGCGGCGGGAGCGCTAGACTCACCGAACGAGGACGTCCGCGAGTTGCTCCACGAGTACGCAGTAGAGGGGCTGTGTGCTGGAGACTCGGGCTGCCTCTCGCGGGGGCGGTCCTGGGGTGTGGAAAATTTCGCCTTCTTCGGCGAAGAGGGCCCCGGAGTAAACGAAAAGGACGACTGTGCAGGAGACGCTGCGGGGCGCGAGTGGCTGAAAGCATGAGCAGGCGGAGCTGGCTGTGGTGGAGATGGTGCTGTATACAGAGGAGGAGACGGAGGGCTTGAGGGACGAACAGAGCGAGAGACCGGGGTGTTCGGTGCAGGTGGTGAGTAACGCGAATGAGAAGTAACTGAGGTTTGCGAGGGGGTCCGTGATTGCGAGACCGAAGAAGTTCGCGGCGAGGGCGGGGGATACGTGTACGGAGCGGCGGCGGCATGCTGTTGCGGCCACGCCGAGTAGGGACCATCTGAGTACGTCGACTGCACACTTTGACCGCTGGTGGAGCGCGGGCGCTTGCGGGATGCTTCTGAAGATGCGGAATGTTTTCTTGCTGAGGGATCGAACCTTTCCTCCGTGGGCGAAGATGCATCGCTTATGCTGAAGAGGCTGGACCGTTTTGGCGGCGAGTACACAGGAAGGGGCGACGGAGACGCCATGCTTTCCGTTACGGGGGTGAGGAGCTCGCGCTGAAGGCGGGGTGGCGACCCACTCATGCGCGAATCTGACGGTCTCGCGCCTGCAGGTGGGTTCTGTGGATGGAGTACAATCAAGAAACTCCATAGATGAGAAAAAATATGCTGCCACTTACGCCTTCAACCACTATCTCCAGAGTCCGCTCAACCGAAACCTTAAGGTTCGCGGGTTGGCTCGTACATTGGCCATCGGGCGTTATCCTCAGGAAATACTGTTTATATTTGCCTCGCATTGTATAGACCTTCGCTGCACCTACAGAACTATTTAGATGCGAGGAACGATATAACCCACTAGAACATACCATCAATACGAGATGGGCCCTTCTGGAGCTCCTCCGACACCTCCTGCGCGTCAGCCCAGAAACCCTCGTCGCCGCTGTCGGCGGATTTCAGCGGCACTCTGACTTCCGCCAGCATCTGCTCGTCGTCTGGGTTCCGCTTGTCCTCCATCAGCAGGGTGAGCACACGAGTCATGCGTGTAGCAGGCGGCGGATATTCCTGAATAGGTGGCGCTGGGGCGTTCACAGGATGCTGGGGAGCGTTCCTAGGATGGTGGGTAGACTCGTGATGGTGCGGATGGGGCTTGGATTTATGGCGTTTTTCTGGTGGAGGTGCGGATGGGGGAGGATAGGGCGCGGAGTGTGCAGGAACATATCCCGGAGGAGGACGTGGCGGAGGGAAACTATAGTGCTGCTCAGGGGGTGGTGAGGGTGGCGAGGGTGGCGAATCGTCGCGGTGGTCGTACTCAGGCGACGGAGAGTAGCGATAGTTAGGGGGAGGCGCAGACGGTTCGTGATGCTTGCTTGAACGCAAGTTGTGAGAATGAGGCTCCGGATTATGCGGTGCTCTGGAACTGTGGTAGTGAGTCTGAGAGGAAGGTGCTGGAGGAGGTGCTGGTGCTGGTGCTGGTGCTGGTGTTGGTGCCGGCGGAGGTGCCGGCGGAGGTGCTGGCGGAGGTGGCGCTGTTGAAGGGGGTGCTCGAGCTGGTGCCGGAGGGGGTGCCGGCGCTCCTGTCGGTGCTGGGGATGAGGAATGGGACGTCGCAGAAGCCGCATTTGCAGCTTGAAGCGCGGCCACAATCGGCGGGGGCTCTGAGTAATCCCATCGGTAATATGACTGTCGCGGCTGTGAGCCCTGCCCTGGCTGCGCTTGTGAAGGCGCAGAGCCGCCAGGAGGGTCGGTCTGCCACGGGTAATAGTAGGACAAGGGAGGTGTGGGACGGCGTGGGACAGACTGTGTTTGCAGTTGCCACTGCGCGTTCTTCTTGCTGGACTGGGAGCCCTTGGTCTTTGGCACTGGCTCTCCCATCATGTGTACACGATATGTCGACCCGTACGGTCCGTCCTGGGCGCCATATGGCGTCGCAACTGCGGTGGGGTCGTTCAAATATTTCCTGACGCGGAAAGCGGTTCTCTGGATGGGAACATGAGGTGGTCTGGTATCACCCTTGTCGATTTCTTTGCCTTTGCGCGGCGAGGCTTTGGATTTCTCCTTGGATGCGGCGTTGTCCTTGCCCTTGGTCGATTTCTTATTCGATTTCGATGCGAGCTCTTCAGTCGCACTTTGTCCTGGTAGGTAATGTTGCTCGGGGGCGGGTTTCTCGGGCGGTGGCGCATGATAGGTCGGCACGGACGGAGGACTGGTGCCAAAGCCAACTGGTTGTCGGAGGACAGGCGCACTGGCGGCCTGCGATGATGCAGATGGGTGCAATGTTGAGGCAGGCGCTTTCCAGGAGCTCCGAGCAACACTGTCTGTGTCTGAGCTAGGTGATTCGCGACGAAAACGCGTCTGCTGAGCGAGTCAGACAACACTGAGTTTGCGAAAGACGAGCGTGTTACTCACCGGGGATGGCCCCCTACTGCTCCTTCAATCAGGAACGAAACATCGGTGACTTGCTCTCCGTAACCCCACAACATCATCGCGATGAAGAAAACACTCACGAAGAATCACTATCCATGGATGTGCTAGATAAAGCAATACAGCAACAAGATCAAGCGAGTTGGTGGGATCCAGCAAAGCACAGAACGAATAGACATAAGTTATAGCAGTTGCGAGCAAGCATAGAGCAAACAAGATAGCAGGGTGATATCGAAGATTCGAGAGATATTCAGCAGTCGAACATGTCTCCAAAGCGTTCATTTACTACGACCGAGGAGGCCACTCCTCTCGGCGTCCTTTCGCCATATTCGGGCGGAGATCACAACCAGACGCGCTCCCGTGACAAACACGTGAGCGGGTACGCAGTAAAAGGCGCCCATGATACTTGGATCGTAACCACTTCGACCGGGCTCGAGCTCGTCTGGAAGCCTTTCAACCCCGAGCCAAGATACCCAGGGAAAACCATGCAAATGTTTTACACAGGACTTACTTTGGCAGAGTCCAAGTACCCAGAGATAGATTGTTGAGGCTCAGAGTCAGTCGACGCCAGTACTCGGGATCGCGGACGATGTCGCGTGCGTGCCACCAAGGCCGCGACGTACATGGAGGGCGAGCAGAGCGGGTGAAAGAAGAAGATAAGTCGTGTGTACTCATTCTCCGCGACATGTCGTCTTTATATATGCCGCAAGGGATGTGTGATACACAGTGAGTGATGTCAATAGTCTAAATCTTAGACTGACAGGACGGCACCGATCCCCGCTACCTTGGTAGTGGGTCTTTATGGCGTGCAATGTTGAGTGACGGCCCGCAAAATATTTACGATCACGTGCAATTACATCATCAATTCTAACTTTGCATCTATTTGCTTCGCTCCTATTTCGTTCAGTGCTTGCACCGCTCCTACCACCCACCTTCTGCCATCCCTCTAATGCTCGTCGTGCTCGCTAGCGTCGCAGGCATTTCCGCCACTGCTTGCATCGACCCTACACGAGAGACTTCAGTGCTTTCCGCTCGATTTGCGCTCGCTCAGAATGTACCGCGTAAAATCGTACGCAGCGACGCCGGGATCTCGTTCAGTACGAGCAGCCCAGTTGTGCTTCCTACACCATCAGGATGGTACATCTCGACATCCGAACTTCGCGTAGGCCATACCGCCATCGGGTTTGACATCGTACTTGGCATGGACTGGCTTGTGGCGTCCGGCGCCGTTCTTGGTGAGAGGGTGATACAAGATGCTTCCAGCCCCTGTCCGCATCCATCCTTCAAGTGGGAACGTAGTACTATCAGAGGTATGTGTGTGTTAATTTATACACACTAATTCTCTATTGATCCTCGTACAGAGCATGTCCCTGCGAGCGCGTACGTTGCCATTCCGCCTGCAGACGATCAGGCATGTTCATCGTCCTCCCCTCGCCGGGGAAGTAATAATGAGGCTTGGCTTTCCGTCCTAGTAGACGAAGTACCTCATGTAGCGTACGCTGTACAGCGTATACTAGGTGATGAGTATACACCTGTCCCCGGCTTCCTGGCTGTACATGATCGTCATGCCGTTGCCCTGGAAGTTGCGAACCACGGCATTCCTATGGGACCAGTTATCGTTGATGTGCAGAAATCGTGGCTTTTGCACGTTATCAGAGGCGCTTGCGCCGATGGCCGTCCTGATCGTGTTGGCTGCCAGTGTATATCTAATGATTGTGACGACCCCTTGTCACTTTCGAACGCTCTGAGAGAATGCCTGTTGCGGGCATTGGTTCTTGTGCCCATGAATACATTGCGGCGGCTTTGTGCTGTGTTCGACATCCCCTTCCCTGAACATGTCCCAGACGGCCGCGAAAGTATCATACAAGATGTCACTGATTATCTGCACTCGCTAGACGACGTTCTTACTGAGGACAGCATAGAGGTAGATGATGTCGACTCCCTCAACGGCATTGAGTACATGAAACTGGACGAACTAAGATCCATGTGCCTCGCGCATGGTATTACAATGTCGGGCAAACCGCGAAAGGAGGATCTTAAGGTGTTGCTGTCAGCACACTACGCTAATGCGGGCTGTGCACGACGGGTGGATGGTGTTATCGCTCCCGCGTGTGCGCGACTTCGCGAACAGGTTGGTGATGATGTCCAATGTACGGATCGCATCGAACTTCAAGTTCGATTGTTGACTGCATTGGCCCCTAAGCTACATTCGAAGGCACTACGTCGGCTGCTGGACACGCACAGAGTCCTTTATAGCGTTGATGACAGTACTTCGCGGCTGCGCCGAACCCTCAGAGCTTTCATACGAACCTTAAAAAAAGGGAAGATGCTGTCCGCACTTAGAGCCGGCAGGCACGCCGATACGCAGTCCGCGAGAACTGCGCGCGAAGACCAACGAGACCGTATTCGTAAGGACTGGCCACAGATCGTGTCCGGCGATTTTAAGGAAAAAATGGTGCGCGATTTTCGTCGTGACACCGGTACCGTACACCTTAAGCAGTTCACGTGTGCGTGCTGCGCTGCTCTTTACAGTATGCGGGAGCTAAACAGCATACCACTGACAGAACTGCCCATAGACCTCCTCCAGTGTCCAAAAGCAGTACTCGATTATTCTCCGCAACTACCATTACCGGATTTGTCGGATCTGGGTGTCCCGCGTGGCACATTATTGGATAGAGATGGTATTAATACGAATAAAGAGGGCGTATTGGGGACATCTTTGTGCTCTGAGTGCGCTCGCTGTCTGCGCGTGGAACAGCTGCCGCCGTTAGCACTGGCTAATCGCGTGTACACGGGTCCTGTGCCTCCTCAATTGGCTGGGCTCACCTTTATTGAGGAACAGATAATATCGAGGTGTCGAGCAAAGACCTGTATCGTTCATCTTCGTGTGGATCAAGACGACGAATCGTCCCCTGTGTTGGCTAATATGCAGCGTGGAATAAAGGGTCATGTTATCGTGTATCCGCAAAAACCCGAGAAAGTAGCGGCTGTCTTACCTCCCGCTATATCAGACATAATGAATCCTATATGCGTCATATTTGTTGGCTCCCGTCCCCCTACGCGTAAGTGGTTAGAGGATAAAGCAAAGCCGCTAGTGGTTAGGCAGCAGAAAATAATGGACGCCCTGCAATGGTTGAAGGTCAATAATCCTCTCTATGCGGACTTAGTAATCGATATGCAGCGTATAAAGGACTTGCCAGCGAACGGAATACTACCTCATGATATACAGCACTTGTCCCAAGACGAGAGCTCTTCAGCGGTGACCGCCAGATATGACGAGGGGGAGCCGGAGTTTGTGGAGGGAGCGTCCACACGCGACATCAAGCGAGACAGAGTAGAGTTCCACAAGGTGGTCATAACCGATGTTGAAGGTCGAGCACCCGCCAACGAACTACGCGCTGCTGCTATTCGCCACTTCAAGCACAAGGGTGGCGGTTATGTCGAAATACCCCATCAGCCTAAACCCGTCAATGAGTTCTATAACCCTGCGTTGTTTCCCATGACGTACCCTACTTTGTTCCCTTACGGTGTAGGCGGTTGTGAAGACAAAATCCGCAAGCGTGCTATATCCCTAAAACGCCATGTGCGGCATCTATTGAGCCTCAACGACAGACGATTTCAGACGCACCATTCATTTATGTTCACCGCATTTAATATCCTTCAACGCCGTGCAGTGCTTCTTAATACGGGTCTCAAGGTCCGCCGAGATCATTTCAAGACCTTTGCGAGCAGATTCGCATCCGTATCCGATGAGGCCATAGCGCGAGTTTGCACTCGCGTGGCGGAGACCGGTTTGCTCGGTGCTGAGAACGCCGAGGAACGTAAGGTGGTACAGTTGATGAAAGAAGTACAACTCGTGAACCGCAACGTACCTGGCTCCTCCGCTTCACGTGTCGCGATGCGCAATGAAATTCGCGCACTGATGGCTACCCACGGCATGCCGAGCTTCTACTTAACAATAAACCCTGCCGATATATATTCGCCTGTAGTGAAGCTGTTAGCAGGAGCCGACATAGACATAGACCGGCTTTTACCGGAAGATGTTCCAGACCCTTGGGAACAGTCTATCCTTGTGGCCCGCAATCCGGTCATAGCTGCGAAGTTTTTCAATGTATATATAAAAGCGTTCATAAAAGACTTACTTGGGTTTGACCGCCAGAGTGATAACCTGGATGGGGGAATACTAGGAGTAGTCAAAGCGTTCTACAGTTGTGTGGAAGCGCAAGGGCGGGGGACGCTTCATTGCCACATGATGGTATGGGTTGAGGGAGGATTGGACCCAAAGGAACTTCAACAAAAACTGTCCGCAGACGGTGGAGCCGATTTCGGCAAGCGGCTTATTGCGTTCTTGGAAGACACCATCTCAAACGATATACCTTTAGGTACGGAACTGGGTGACGGCGCGACGGAGGATCCGGCTCCACGCCGTGCTCAACCCCATCCGGATTGTCTACGCGGGTTCGATCTAGACTTGATAGGTGAAGAACTCGATGCTGCACGTATCGACGATTTGAGGAGGCTGGTCTTGAAGAATCAGATGCACCGTCATACTGATACTTGCTACAAATACTGCGGGGACGGACCTCGAAAGTGTAGATTTGACTTAGAGGAAGACAACGTCGTGATGGAAAGCGTGTTTGACGAAGAGACGGGCGACCTTATTTTGAGGATCCTGAACGGCATGGTGAATAACTACAACCCTACCATGCTTGAAGCGTTGAGATGCAACATGGACTTACAGTATATCGGGTCTGGCGAGGAGGCGAAAGCGGTCATATACTATATTACCGATTACATTACTAAGTCGCCTTTGAAGGCGCACGTAGCATACGCCGCGTTGGAGCTCGCCGTTAAAAAACTCACGGACGCTGGTTTTGATGTTCAAGACAGTTTTGAGAGGGCGCGACGGTTGCTGCAACGTACGGCATTTTCAATCATATCCAATCAGGAGCTATCCGCGCCGCAAGTGGCTTCGTATCTGATGGACTACGAAGATCACTTCACTAGTCACCGGTTTGCTAACCTGTACTGGCCCTCATTTGAGCGTTACATTGACAAGACCCATGGGCTTAGTGGATCACAAAACTTAGAGACGGATGGAAACGTACTAGAATCCGACAATGCAGCCCCCACGGAAGTGCCCGATGATGGCACAGTTCCGATGCATCCGCTCTCTGAGCCCGAGCCCATGGCAGCTAATGAAGCGGGAATCGATGGCACTGTAGAAGAAATTGCTGATGATGAGCAGGATGAAGGGTTGGGCGACGAAGAGGTGGCAATCTCGACCACTCCCAACGGGGAGGTCGTGCAGCTGAGCTCACAACTGACCGATTACCTGTGCCGAGGGGACGGTCTTCGAAGTACTAGTTTATGGGATTTTATTGCTACCACACGCAAAACTTCTAATTCTGTTCGTGACCGTCGCGCAGCGAGTCCTGTTGATGACGAAAATGGTGATGCTGAATTTGACCACGAGCAGCCGGATGACGATGACCTTGCCCCCGACAGAAGGCGGCGAGTAGTTGTGCCGTTCATGGACAGTCATCCTGAACATGAACGAAAGGTGTTAGTTGTGATTGGAGACGGTGGAAATAAATTTGTACCAGTGCCTGTGGGACCGAGGCTTCCGCGACGAGATAGGGAGAACGAACGCGAGCGGTACTGTCGCCTGATGCTCATACTTTTCAAGCCGTGGAGGAATGCTTCCGAACTGTTAGGGGACGCGCTGAATTGGGACGACGCGTATGAGGCACACGCAGTCGAACATACCGACGAACATAAACGTATTATACGCAATATGCAGTTGTTGCACGAGTGCCGGGACAGCCGCAACGACAGCATGGCGCGGGGGTATCGTCGCTCTAGGACTCGCGGGCGCGCTGCGGCAAGTCGTACATCCGCGCACGGAGATCACGAAGATGAAGACACCTTTGGCGGCATTGATGAGGAAGAAATAGTACGTCACCTAGAGTCCATCGATGCCAGTCGGTCAATCAGGAAAGGGAAGGAGACGACGCGGGTGAACGAGTGTGTGCAATCCGCTCTCCGGAATTCGCTGTATGACGGACTGCGTCAGCCCTTCGATAAATCTGGTATGAGCGCAGTCGACATAAACACCTTGGGACGATCCGCCCGCGATCTCGAATCTCGCTGGAAGGCTGAATACGAGTCTCGTCGAAAGGAGTGGAAACGGTTTCTTGCCACGCGCCCCGGTTCGATGGATCCGTCTGCGGAAACCAACTCTAATGACACACAGTACGACGCTCGCGTTGGAAACATGGACTCTAACATACTGAATGGTACGGAGCCTCAATACGAACCTCGAATAGCCGGTGCTGTACACGCGCCTACATCGAGACCTGTCGAGGTGGATCAGCATGCGGCTCAATGGGGATTGAATGTGGAACAAAAACGTGCCTTCGCTATTGTAGCAAACCACTCTTTATTAAACAAGCCAGATCCTCTACGCATGTTTATGGGTGGTGTTGGTGGTACCGGCAAGTCCCGGGTCATCCAAGCACTCACCTCTTTCTTCGCCGAACGCAATCAGGCACGTCGGTTACGCTTGGCATCCTTCACCGGTGTAGCTGCACGCAACATCGCCGGCACTACCCTGCATGCCGCACTGTCTTTAGATCAACGCCGTAACGGTAAACTAGGATCCAAAACGAAGCGCGATTTGCAAGCTATGTGGGACGGCGTGGATTATCTGTTGATTGACGAGGTTTCTATGGTTGGATGCAAAATGATGGCACGTATCAGCGAGGCTCTCACTGAGGCGACTTCTGTCCATACCGCATTTGGTGGCCTGAATATCATCCTCGCTGGAGACTTCGCGCAGCTTCCGCCAGTGTCCGAAACGAGGCTATATGCGTGGGTCAGAACGTCTCGGGATGCGTCACTGAATAAGGGGCAGGAGGTTATCCTTGGTAAGCTGTTGTGGTTGTCTATCAGTACTGTCGTCATTCTTAAAGAAGTCATGCGCCAGAAAGGAGACCAGTCATTTGTGCAGCTTCTGTCCCGCCTTCGAGATGGAAAATGCACCCCTGATGACTACGCAGCCTTATCCAGCCGTGTACTGGATAACGTCAGTAAAGACCAACGCGATGCTCAGTGGAATGACGCACCGGTTATAGTATATGATAACGCCACGAAAGACGCCATGAATGTACTTGCAGCCGAGGCTTTTGCTACCGCTACCAATCAGACCGTTGAGTGGTACTACTCGGCGGATGTGTACGGAGGTAAAGCTCTCAAGGATGCGACCTTGTTGGACATGTTAGAGACGATGCACTCGGGGGAAACGTCTCAGCGGCTCACAAAAATTCCGTTAGTGCTGGGGATGCCCGTTATCTTGTCACAGAACTATGATGTGAGTGGCGGTATCGTCAATGGCAGCATAGGTACTTTGCTGTCCATAAGGTTTGAAAAAGATGAGGCCAGTGGACGTCGGTACCTGATATCCTGTACAGTGAAGATTGACGATGTTCCTGCACCTGCTATGACTAACATGGTCGAAGGACAGTTTCCTGTCATGCAAGACACCGTGAGCATCACATTTGTTCACCCACATAACAAATCAAAGTGCACCATTAAACGTACACAAGTACCAATCCAGCCCGCATTCGCTATAACTGCACATAAGGCTCAAGGCCAGACTTTCTCTCGCGTGGTGGTCGACCTTGCTGGATGCACAGGCACGGAGGCACCCTATGTGATGCTGTCCAGAGCGACATCTCTCGCAGGGGTACTTATATTACGTCCTTTCGACATATCTAAAATAACCTGCCGTCAATCGGGCGACATGCGCAAAGAGTCTCACCGGCTATCCGTACTCGCTGAAAAGACCGTCGTAGCGCATGGTAGTGCAGAAGAGGTGCAAGTTGCGCTGGCTAACCTCAAGCGGCTGGGAACTGTAGACGTGTTTGATGAAGAAGGCAGGATGTCGGGTCCCCACTCAGAACCTCCTGCTTTAGTGGAGGAGCAGTGCCGCAGACTTGAGAGAGAACAACAGGCCAACGATCGCGTGTACGACCGTCAAGCTCGCCGACAACGCGATGTGGAGGACGAAGGGACGCCTACCGCAGCGCGCAAACGGGTACGCTTTCAGCGAAGCATGTAAGCGCTCACGCCCCCGCACGGCCGAATGCGGCCGATCGCGTGGTGTTCTGTGAGCGCTACCTCTTCTCGTCCCCTGCCATGATCTGTCCCAATACTTCTACACATCTCTCCTCGTGTACATAAAAACTCATCGTGACATTGGTGTTTCGCATAGCTGTAGCTCAGATATCCTCGTCGTCGCTATGATCGCACAGCCCGGTCAACCTTGCTGCATCGTCACAGCAGCTATCGCTCAGCATGAAGCATGGCTCGGCCCGATACCATCGCAGTGTATGTTCTTCAGTATCAAGTTGTATACCGAGCTGCGCCTTACTTGTTCTCTTTCTAGCCCCTACAGCCACATACTTATGCTCCCAGTGCGTAGAGCTCCGCGATAAGAATGTTAAGTACGCCATGTGCTCTCCATGTCCGTTCTCAATTGCTCCGTCTTCCGCCTACGTTGGTGACGTCGCTTGCGTTAAAAGGACAGTCATCCCTTCGAGTAAGGCTGCTATTTCTCTGCCCTATACGACCATGTGCACCTCCGAAGGCAATCACTCCGACCGTTGCGAAGACTACGGGTAAGCTGGTCAGTCTCTATGGGGAACACTTGGCTCATGTGTGCATAGGAATGGTCTTGCTACTAGTCCTACGCTCTCCGTCGCTGACGACGACGTCCGTGATCGTTTGAGTCCTTCCGACCCTGCCGAAGACCTCCTCGCCGGTCTAGACGACTTCACGCCTCTGCTGCCCATCTGGATGTCTTCCGCATTCTACGAGTACGTGCGTTTTAGCTTGCCCCATCATACACCATCATCTGATACACTCACAGATCACATTTGAAGCATTTGCTGGACTACGCCGGAGCAGGCAACGCCTTCTCGCTCAGCAGCGTCCCCGCTACCGCTGCGTGGGGTGAAGGAGACCTACACAACTTCTTGTGTTATGGTACCCGCCCCCTGAACATCCTGGCGATAGGAGAGCTGGAAATGTTCGGCGCCGCTGTCGACCATGCCTCCATGGTATCCTCTACGCGGATGCGGGTCGATCTCTTACGCGACGTCGATCATTCGTCGTCCTCTGCGCTGCTCCATCGTTCCCGGGGCGTACCAGGTAAGCTACCATTTCAGCTCACTTTCGTCTCCGCTTGCTGACCTTTGCGTCTGTGCAGTGATAGCACCTCCTATGTTCGAAGCGTCGCGTGTCAACAGGCAGTCAAACAAGGTCCGTCATGTTTACCAAGGATGAACGTTCTTCAGTTCTAAGTGGTATCAGATGTTCACGAACATAGTTGATGCGACAGACCGCTGGCCGCCCGCTCAGCCAATCGTCACCGTTCCCCTCTCCGACCTGGCGGTGGGGGATATAGTCTTGCTGGAGACCGCCCTGATCAGGGACGACCGCGCTACAGCCGTTTCGTATCCTACCTGGCAGCAGTTCGCCTGCAAATTCGTGTTATGCAACGTGGCCCTCCTGGCGCGCGCTCCGCGTACACCTCAATAATGAAATGTAGAATGTTTGATCGCACGACCACCTCGGTGCTCAAGAATTCTGCCCTCGTCATGTATCTCAGCGTTCTCCGCTCTGCATTTCGGCATCCAGCATTGTACGCGTGGTCCATGCTAAACTCCCTCGGAAGCTAGGGCATCCGTGCGCTCCATATCAACCTGTGCCGGGTCTCCGTTTCTCTCCCACGCACTCGCGGTGTGCGGAGAATTTAGGAGTTGCCTCTCGTTTCTCATAAATAGAAGAACACTGCAGCTATGCTCCGTCTCGTGCTCATCCTTCTCGGACACTCGCTTCATCTTCCCACACTCCGGTACCCTCCATGACCTCGCGCAAGTCCAAAGCCACGGATCAGGCTGTCGCTGGTTCGTCTCGAGACCCCAAACGTCTTCGGTGAGTGCTATGCTCGCGATGGGTACGCTTCATCCTAAGTCATGCTATCCAGTACCGGCAACGGTGAGCCTTTGGCGGATACCGGCGACGGTGAGCCTTTGGCGGATACCGACACCATCAACGCCGCGGATACCGTTACCAACAACGCCGCGGATACCGTTACCAACAACGCCGACAACGGCACGGACCCTGTGACCCAAGCACACCCTACTGCGGCCATCCGCACCCCACGCACCCAGGCCCCCGTTCAGGACAACACCTCTTCGACCGCCGTGTTGCAGCCTCCTGGTACGTCTCTCTCACCTGCCCGTCCGCCTCCACTTTTAAGTGACGCATGTGCTAATATGCGTCATCACAGCTCCTACCTCCCACACTGCAGGTGAACAAGTCGTAGAGGCCGACTTGACCCTCCGCGATGCCGACCGGGACTACATATTGCCCGACTTCATCCCGTGCGTTTACTTATACTCTGTTTTCGGTTTGTCCACTGACTACATTGTATACAGCCGGCTGCTATCGATCATGAACTACACCGAGCCCAACGCCAACAGATACAACATAGGCCTCATCCCCACCGGCGCCTCATGGGGCCCCGTAGGCGACGGGTCAGGTCTCGATAAGTTCATCTGCCTTCAGGGTCGCCCCCTTATCGCCTGGATGGAAGGCATCGTGACTTCTACTTGGTTCGCCCCTACCGAGGGTAGCCGAGTCAGCATCGGTGTCCGTCTGCTCTGCCAGCGCGACCAAGACGCGGCCAGGTACTTTCAGTACAGTGCCTGTCGCCCTGTCGGAGGTGCGTCCCCACGCTCTTTTGCCGATCTGTGCTAACATGCGCCCTTTGCAGATGCCACCCACTCCGGAATCGGGACGTATGCTGGCCGCTTCATCAACGGCCGTGGCGACGACGCAGCCGTAGTCTTCGACGAAGTCTACGACGGAAGCGACCGGCTCGGTAGCTGGGGCACCATGGCCAAGATCGATGGTTCTCGCGTCCAGAAGACCGATGTCGTTGTTGTCGAATGCTACATCAAGCGCTACAGATCTCGTGAAGCTAGCAGTCGCTTCAACTGGACTTCGTGGGGTGTAGGGTTCGAGCTCCTCCGCGTCGCTCACATCCTGGCCGGACCGGGCCCTGCCGACCTCCTTCCGGACGACAGCCAGGTTGACCTTTAGAACGTGAGTACTACAATTCGTTGATATTTACGCGACCAACTTTAATGATAGGCACACTGTGCAGCACTGCCCTCCAGCGTCTCGTGAGCTTCACCGTTCTGCGCCCCACCCCTCGCCCTCGATACGGACACCGTGACTGTTTCTATCCTTTACCTGAGCGATGTATTCCGATACGGACTCTGCCCTGTGAACTGATGTATACTATATTTATGTACTCCCAATTATAGCGCTGTTTGTCGCTCTTTCCGTTTGTGTCCTGCCTGTTGTGGTACAGCTACTTCCCCTGCGGTGACGCATACGACAGACCCTCGTACTGAGTCGCCATTGTTCTACCAAGCACCTAGTCAGTCGCGTGTACTGAAGCCGTGAACGACTTACCTTATATAGCATAACACCACTTCCATGCATCAGATCGCGAGACAATCGTCGCTCGTTGCTCGCGATCCCCCCTCGTCTTCTGCATCTACTGCCCGTCTACCTCCCTCGACCATGGCCCGCAAGAATGCCCGAACCCTCACGCCATCTCCATACATCGACTCGCGTACTCACCCGTAGACGACCCCAGCCGCAACACCCCGCCCACCCGGCTCAGCCCCAGACCCTCTGCGACTGCTCCGCCCAATTCGCGGAGGGAGATGGCGATGAGCGCCCGCCAACACGTGGTATGGTGCCCAATGGGTGCTCGCAGCCATTGCTGGACGTGTGGGATCGCGCGGTTAACTATGAAGGAGGGCGCGAGCTCCTTATGCGCGGCCAATCACGGTCAGGCCGTACTTGCACGACTTATCCGAGCTGCGAGAACGCGCTCCGAGTCAGCACGTGCACGAACGTCTTCTTGGGGTGATAGCTGAATCGAGAACACTCACGGATTGACGATCCCGCCGAGCGCCGCAGCTCCTCGCCGTCCATCCAGTAATTGAGCCAGAGTACGCCCCGGACCCGCGATTGGAACCGGACGGGTCCCCATCCTCTGCGGGCCAAAACGGACCAGGGCTATCGAGCGCGAGGTGGACATGGCCGAGCACGCGAGCGACGCGTCAGCCGCTGCGCTCGTGGAGGGGTGCGCGACGAGCTCGTGCGGTGGTATGCCCCGCTTACGACCTTCACCTCAAGAGCGTAGTCCTCTTGCGCGGCGGAGATGCTCTGCGCACGCCGAATATGTTCTGCGCGAGGTACTCAGGTGTCCTGTCGCCCATAGGATGTCAGCGTATAGTTTTAATCTGAATTGATATGTGTATCACCGCCCGGACGTAGTCCTGGTAGGTCACATATTTCATTGCCGTACCGTTGTAGACTCTTGCTCTGGTTTCCTCGCTCAGCACCAGGATATCGACGGCGCAGGTAGTTTGTTGAACTTGCGCATCATAGCAAAGTGTAAACGTATCTATCGCCGGCTGAGCCTTGCGCTCGCTCGATCTTCCAAGTTTCATGCCCGGGACCGTGGGGCACCTCAAGGAGGAAAAGCCACGTGCTCCAATCGACACGTGCCATCGGTCCCGAGACGGGCGCCTAGACCTGGTATCCCTCGCATCTGGCCAGTGACCCCTCTGCTCCCCTAGCTTCCACGCCGTACTAGTGCCTCTCAAAACTCGCATCACACCCACGCCACTTGTTCTCATTCACCGCCGTCTTAGATGCATAGATAACTTTGCATTATGGGGAGCTCATAGCGCTACAACATTACTCGCGGTCTGTGACCATCTCCTCCCCATCCCCGCCGCCACCCGCAACAGCGTTGGTAGCGGACAGGACAGGCGCCGTGTGTACAACGCGAGCCTGTGCGGAGGTCTGTTGCTCCTCAGCAGGGGGAGGCCGGGACTCGTTGACACGTAAACCGATAACTGCCTGCGCAAAAGTAAGTCTACAAATCACGTATACTCCTTAACGCGGACTTACCTGGGCTTCCATAGCGGACCATAGCCTGACGACGTCGTGCATAACGAACGTCACCCTGGATCCCTGAGACTTCCTGGTGCGTACGGTTTCAATCCGTGCAGAAATGGTGACCTCCACGAAGTCCCCCCGGCCGATGGCATCGCATACGACAGGCATGTTGACGCCGTTCTTCCTGCGTAAGGAGGTGTTGATCCTGTGGTCGATGCACCATTGGTCGGCTATCTTGCGAGCTGCACGTCGGGGGTCATTGGCATCGGTGAGCGTGACTGCGCTCGATCGCTTCTGCGTTGCTCGGACCTGCGTAACATATTGGTAACGTTCACGACATATCTATCAGCTCTCACTCACCTTCGTAAAGACAGGCTGTCTAAGAGCAATACGATCGTCTTCTGCGCCCGCCGCGTGGACTTCTGCGCCGACGTGAACCGCGATTAGTTCCCGAATGTTGCGAAGCGCTTCGACCTGCGACTTGAACGGCTCCTTGAATCCTCCAGACTCCAAGGTCAAGAACTGCGCAGCGCCCTGCACGTCCTTTGGTTTCCTATGAACGCGTTAGTCCTTACTCCGCCAGATGTGCTACCTGTACTCACCCTTTCCAGTTGCCAAACATGGACAGCGAGCACGCGGCAACGAAACCTTGCAAAATGATGTTGACCGTCCATAGGTCTTTGCCGTCAGGCGCTAGCGTCTCGTCGGTGTAGACAAGGTGCTTTACGCGGGACATCGTTGCATTGTCGTCGTTGTCGTCGTCGACGACCGTGGCCCAGTCGCACATCTCGTCGAACGTGGCGGGTACGAACTGCCAGCTCTCTCGAACCTGCAGATCAAAACCGCCAGATGTAGCACATCCGAGGTTGTTGGGCCATACAGCAGGTACGATGGCGCGATTAACTACCAACGGTTAGCACCTATCCGCGCCCAACGATCAACGTACTTACCTGTGACGACAGACATGGCGAACTGCAATAGAAGGTTATGTTCCTTGGTTTGCCTGACCGACTGATCCCTTTTTATACTGTGCCGGTAATTTCGTCTGCATACCCCCCTTTGATACATCAAGTTTGTGGAGCACATTCTACGTTCATAATGCTCATCCGCTGCACTACGATCAGCGCCAGCCTCGACGCCACGTTGAATATGCTATCTACCAGTACTGTGCTTCATCTCCATCGTACTTCAGCGCAGGCCCTCAACATCGCGCGTGGCGCACCCGATACAGGTAATTGCTGCTTCTGGCCTTCGTTCATCCTCTACATTTCGCTCACCATCGCCCGCTCAGCGTTCCATCGACTACAACACCGGACTGAGCGGTACGGCGGAAACACTGAACACGGTGACAACATCATGGCATACGGACAAACCGCCAAGCACCGCATCCTCGAAATGCACAATTCGTACGAGTCGAAAAGAATTAGCCCTGCGTGCGTTCTCGAGCTCTGCCTGCATCGAATCCTCCGGTATGTTCATATCCGCGCCCTCTGCATGACTTGACTGCATCATCTCTCCATGATATTTAGCATCCGCCGCCGACAGTGCCCATATGCCTACAGATTGTGGCGTTGCTGGCCTGCGTGCTGCAGCGGATAATGTGCATCATCATGGCACCTGCGGGTACACGGATGCAGGCGCTGCGTTCAGAGATGTTTGCAATAGCGGATGACGGGCTACCTCCATTGCCAACCGTCCAGTTCCAGTGCAGTCATACACCACCCAACACGAACACTTCGCGCGGTAATTTTGCAAAGTCCCTTCGTCGCCACGCTATAAATTCGCGTTGCGCTCCTGCCTGCCAACATCATCGCAACCTCCCAAATATTCTACTCTCTATCACCCTCTACGATGGCATCCGACGGCAACCCCGACATTCTGCTTAGCGTGCCCATCTACATCCAGGCGCCTCCGATCGAAGGCGGTGACCGAAACGTAAGTGGCCGTTGGTGCGATGTAATGACTGTCGCTCATTGTCCGTCTAGAGACATATCCTCATCAACGTTCGTCTGCTCCACGTCGACGACGACAGTGTCCGTCTCGAGGCGGTGTGGAACTCCTTGGAGGCCATGCCGTACGGACCCGTGGGTGTCACGGGTATCGTGGTCCCTCGCAGAGTCGGTCTGCAAGTCTTCTTGCCCCGCGACCCCTTTGTGATGCCTATCTACGTCATCATCACGCGCCAGAACAGGTTCGGATCCAGAGTGCGTCGACTGTCAACGTACTACATCGCCTGTGTACTCATCACCTTTCATGATAGTATCAGCTCGGCGCCGCCGTCCACCTGCACGAGTGGATCCCCGGCATCATCGAGGTCGACATCGATTTCCTCCGCATTCGTCGCCGCAACGTTCACCGGTCGTCCGTGTTAAGCATTGTGCATGCGCGCGATGTCGCTAGCACTAGGGCCGATGTCAATGCCGAGAACGACAACCAAGACGCTGTCGACGGAGAGGCGGCGGATTCAACGGATATGCAGGAGTGAATTAGCATTCCATAACAAAGCCCGTCCTGCTCTCCCTGTGCCGTCTGCGATTCAATGTACATTTGCCTCGGACTCTACGCTATGCAACTCCCCTCCATGTCACCAGTGTGATGAAATGCAGCCCTGCCGTCAACCTCCCTAGCCTTCACCGTATATAAGCTCTCTTTCCAGCAGCCATCCTCGGTAGCACCCCAGCCCGTGCCCCATCATCCTTCTTCGCCGGCTCGCTACGACTTGTCTCCACGCCAAACTATCGTCGCATCTCCTACCCCCCAGCTCTAGCTCGTTCTCTTCACCCGTATCCTTGCCGAGCGTCGGTTCCTCCCCCGCGAACAACAACCATGCCTTTGATGTCCCGTATGTGCGCGTACGTCCATGCCTTGTCCTATCTCGTTATGTTCCTTACTTATCAACCAACAGTTCCAAGGGAGAGCGTTCGGTCAAGCCTCTCCTGACGGCACACCCTGACAACGTTGGTCGTAATCTGCCGGGGTGAGTAGCTGTGCTGTTCTTTTTCCTATCGTCTCTGATCGGAGAGTTTAGCTTGAACCATGACACCATGTACCAACTTGCCAATGTCATCGATCCCAAGTCGCTCAAGAACTGGCGCGCCTCATGCCGGTTCGCCGATCGCACGTCTAGCCATGCCCTCCACCTCCGTTACAACGCCGCTTTGTCGATGTTCGTCAAAGATCCGAATGCACTGCGCAACATCCTGCGCCTCACGCGTTCAGTCATCTCAGGCTCCACCGCTCTTCACGTCCTCGACATCGACCGCGCGTCTGCATGGACGCCTAACGATCTCGACATCTACGCCCCAATCACCGCTGCCGCCGTCGTCGTGAACTACCTTGTCACCGTCGAAGGCTATGATGTCGTCGACAGTCCCGCGCCTGCGAAGTATCCATACCCCTCCTCCCGTTCTGGCTTCAACGCCGTCGCTCACCTCCGGCGCGGTGACATTGAGATCGATGTCATACGCTCGAACACAATCTCCGCCTTACACCCTATCCCCTTCTTCTGGTCGAGCCACCTCATGAACTATCTCACTGCGGACTCATACTGCATGGCATACCCGGACGATACGCTCGCCGGACGCGGTCTCCTCAATCCTATCCAACTCATCGAGCATCAGTATCCCCTTCCTCGGACCATGCGCACCATGAAGAAGTACAGGGCCCGTGGTTACATCTTCCGGTCCCGCCCCACCGCCTGGGAGTCCGACCCCGGCCGCGCGTGCGACAGCGGTCCGAGTTGCCCGCGCACTGTGCGTTACTTTGGGGACAAGCATTGCTTGATGGGCTCCTTCACCTCCTACGCCGACCCTTCTCCGCATGACCGCGCTCTGCCCGACTCGACTCGCACCGTTCGCTGGTGGCGTGGTGGCCCTGTATGTGGCCAAATCTGTACGCATTCCATCTTCGAGCACCTCCGCTCCATCCCGACCGTCCGTACTGTGCGCGCCGCTGACACCGCTTAGCATACGTGAACCAACTACGTTCTAGTGTATAAATGTATCACCTTCATGCTACCATTCCATTCCTTTCCTCGCGTTCCAGATCCGTTATGTATGCTTCTTTGTCCCTGTACCATACGAAACCCTCTACGTGACACGGACGCTCGCCTCTCCCGAAAGACTCTACGTGACACGGACGCTCACCTCTCCCTATATATTTAAATAACTGCCGTTCTTCCTCCCGCATCGTCCGCCTACCTCCTCTCAGCCATGACGATGACTCTCAACATCCAGCTATCCACGCTCGGCGTGTTCTTGCCCGAGCGCTGCCTCTCGTGCGTGCCCCCACTGTTCTCTTGGCCATGCGATACTGACTACGCTCGCTAGAGCATTGCAGGACCTGTACCTTAGCGCTGGCAAATCGGTGGCAGACGTCCCCAACGGTACCACCTGGACCTTCGGTCACGCCGGATCCCCGACCAAGGCCGTCCTCATGGATGGGGACCACCCCTACTCCATCCGCGTTATCGGCGTGATGCGTGAATGCTGCTTCGACAACATCTACCCCCACTTCACTATCATGCCCCTCTTCGAGCGCGATGCAAACGTCTTCAGCGCCATATTCAGCGATCCAACCGCCCAAGATTGGGAGATCGAACCTGGTACGTACTCATACTCCATCGAGCCCGCATAGGTGTTTACCGTGCTTGTTAGATGGACATCGCCCTGACGTTCCACTTTCCCTCAATGACGACCTAGTACATTCAATTTCATCCCTTTTCATGCTCGCTATTCTGACTTACGCCTGCAGGAGAGTATCCGGGTCACCGACAGCACCGACTTACGGTTCGCCAACGGCCGTGGGCGTCCCATCATTCCCCGTACCATCTTGAAGTGCAACGACGTTGTAGTAGCGTTCGTGAACGTCGTCCTCAACGCCCACCTCTTCTCCACCCCCTCTTACTCTTTCGTCGTACGCCACCTCACCTTAGTACACTCCTCCACCGACCGGGAAGCTGGTACCCTGTAGCCTTCACCGCTCCGTGACTCTTAACCTCCGATATGATCTGACTCCGTGTCATGTACTCTCCGTTCTACGTACCCTAAATGTGGCTCTCCGTTGCATTCTTGCGTCGTGCTGTACATATATATATATGCCTTCCTCTGCCATTTCAACCCGTTATCCCCTCACCTGTTGTGAATACCATCTACGCCGCGCCCCGCATGACCACGAAGCGCACCAGGTGAGTCGCCGCGCTTGATGAACATACCCCCCATCGTTTATTTGCTGTCGGGAAGGGAAACCTCCCCTGAAGACGAGCATCATCAAGAGCAGCACGACGTCAAAGATCCTCACGTGCTGGTAGACCCTTACAAAGTTACCCTTCCTGACTGGATCTCGCCAGAAGTCAACCGGTACGTTGTTGTGCGGTTCCGTGTCTCTCTTCCCCCGCTCCCCGCTAACCGTGGCCGTTTCAGTCGCTTGCGCCGCTTCCTCGACTACACCGCGTCTGCGCAGTTACTGTACTACGTGTCACAGCTCCCTCTCGACCGTTGCTGGGGCACGGGCTCGTGCTCGCGTTTTCTATGTGACCCCGCAACAAACACGCCGTTGCGGATGTGGTTCATGGGACTCGTGGAGTCTGCCTCGCATTCGTCTACGCGAACCGAACCTCGATCTCAGTTCACTTTGGACGTCAGGTGCATCCGCGACGTGGACCTCGAGTCCGTCAACCAGCTGCTTCATCTCAGTAAGCCGCATCCTCGTGTGTTGACTCGCTTGATTCCTTGGGCGAATACTGACCAACTGCTCATTTCCCTTACCAGAACACGAATCATCCTTTTTCCACGCAGCTCGCAGTGCCGTGTCTTGCCAAGGCTGTTGCGTAAGAATCGCCCTCACTTGACAGTCGTCACTCTTGCTTATTCTGTGCTGGCAGATATTCACCGCTGTCTTCGACGCGACAGAGACCTACAAGTCCAAGCATGCGATGCCCACAATCCCTGCGACGGACATCGTTTTCCAGGATCTCGTTCTTGTCGAGTTCTTCTGTTATCGAGAGCGTGCGAAGCCTGCTCGAAACAGCCCGCGTTGGACGGCTTGGAGTACGGCTTTCCACATCGAGTCCGTATCGCTCCTTGCCCGTGCCCCCCGCGCTCAGTACAACGAACCTGTCGACACTTTCTCCGGCCACATGTAATCCGCGTCCGCTGTATCCATATAGTACCTGTTCGATGTGAAATTCACTTGTCCCTTAAACCGCGTGAGGTAGCGGGCATTGCCGCTGGCCGGCGCTACACGACTTATCCTTGTTCTGGGTTCCCCAATTGGCAGCCTGAGACCCATATACGGACTACCTGCGCCGATCCCGAAGAGCGATCGGGCTCAGAGCTGGCGGCGCTGGAAATCATGTTCTGGTCTTCTTTTCGTAGTCACAATATTCAGTGCGGAAGCGGCTTGTGTGCGTGGGACCAAGAGAGGGAAACGCGAGCATGATATCGCAAGACGATCTCCCGTTGCGTAACATGCTTAGTAGATGTACAAGATGCATCAAATTCTGTAAAGACTCTATCACATAGCTTCTATGCCGAACCAGTATCTGACACGCTCGAATATCAGGAACGTCAGGATAGTATGTGTACCCAGCTAATGATCGCAAATCAGCCTGAAAGCAAATAAACGAACAGGGGGAATCCACTCACTCTTGCCCAGCACATGCCGAAGCCCTTGTAAAATCCGAATGGCCCCTCACGCGCTAAGACTTGCCTGATGCAGTCAAACGCGCCTCTGAACTCGTGCTTCTTGTCGTTCATCAGCCGTACCTTTACCACATCTGCACAAGCCAGCGCATGAGCTTCAGATACGGACGGTAGTCCACGTGTGCACTCACCGACTGGATTCGAGGTGATGGAACAGAACAATCTACAGCGCACACAGGTGTTAGCTCCCGGAAAGCGGCGCGCTGAGGGTAGAAACGTACCCCGCAAAAGTGCTCGCAACGAGGTGCAGCGGCACGCCCTCTTGCATGATACCTCGCCTCTTTAGCGACTGCTTGATCTGGTCATACGAGCATATCTGCGTCGCCGACAAGACGATACCACGAATCGTCGTCGCTTCCACTCCGCGGTAAAGCGCCCCAAGACCACCTGATAGCGAAGACGCGCCCTTCGATGCGGCGAAGGTGGCGCCGTCTCGATAGATGGAAGCAAAGGCGTGTCGCATGTTCCGATATGGGCTACCATCGGGGTAATGCGCCTGCATCCGCACTGTAGTGGAACGTTCGTAACCGCGACAGCAGCAAGCGTAGAGTGAGCTTTACCTTTAACAAGGTCGGCGGGGTTTGCTAGAGCACTGCCTATGGTAGCGGCGATGCTAGCCGCAGCTACTTTGAGGGGAAGTCCTTCACGTGTAAGTGCACCTTTCGACGCCGTGTGCAACCTGCAAAAACAGAAACATCAGTACTCAAATGTGAAATATGTCAAATTTGATGGGGTACATACTTGTCCTTGAAAAACTCGTAGGTGCCCATTCGGATACCGGAATAAACGAGCTCGCGAAGCATACTTGCTGAGAGGCCGCCCGTAAGGCTCAGCACGCCCTCCTTACGTGCCATCTCAACGCCGACGGACCAAAACGAACTTCCGCTCGCCCCAGGTGCTGCAATCGCCTCAATGAGTGTCGTGATTTCGCAAGAAATCACAACTTGAACACATACTTTGCCGTCGAAGCTGTTGCCGTACCTGCGCAGATCATGTCAATACAAATTACGAGCGTCAACGCACGAGCCTGCTCACCTTGACGCTACAGCCGCGGAAAAGTTCGCGTTCAGTGGAGCCTCCCGAGGTAACGGAGGAAACTCACATATCCGTCGGGTTGCATATCGCAGAAGAAACCATGTCTATTCAAAACCCATGGTCAGCTCGCTCACACCGAAACGGCCGGCCGCACTTACTGCTTATCGCTGCGCCCACAAACTTGAGCGCATACTGCGAATCCCGGGGAACCTCCACCGCATCTTCCAGAACGGCCACCTTCTCCTCCAGCGGGGTGACCGTCATCGTGACCGGAGCCGCGGCCATGGTCCTAAAGCAATAGAGTCGTTCAACTGTGCCCGAAGGAGTCGATGTCCGTGCGAGTGACGACGGTACTGGTCTGCGAGAACCGCTGGAGGTTCGAGACAAAGCAGCACAAGCGAGGGCCACTTATAGGCCGTGCGCACGTCCGCGCGCTGCGGCCCCTGACTGCCGGGTTCCCGCTCGCCCGCCGTGCGTCGTCCCGGGCGATGCGTCAGCGCCTGGCGAGGACGGGGAGACGAACAGGGAGCGTGTACGCGGGTCAAGTGATCGTGGCGGCGGTCTCATGATGACTTCGCTTCCGCCGTCCTACGGCAGCACGCCGATTGCCCTCACGCTGACCAAAGCGCGCGTGCTTGGTGGCAGGGAGGCAGGGAAGATGCGGGATGGACAGGTATTCGGAGAGCAGCATTCGGAATGGATGGAGCGCGTTGATACCAACGTCCGAGGGTATTCGGAAAAGCGAGAGATTCCGAATGGCGCGACGCCGAGAGCGAATCTTTGGCTGGACATTACGGCGAGAGAGACCGAAGAATATGTCATAGAACGCCCTCAGCGCACAGCGAGTACATCGTTATAGATGGGATAGCCAGAGTGAGGTGTTGGTGGTCGGAGCACAAGAAGCTTGAAAAGGCTATCACTCACCTCGAAACAGTTTGCTCGGGTCGGGATCAAGGTGCTCTTGGCGCCTAAATGCCACGCGGCTCGCAAAGCGGCATCCAAGGCGCAAGCGCTTACCTGTTTGTCTCTCTCTCTCTCTTCTCCCTCACTCGGCAGCGTCCCACCTTGACTGGTTGCTCCTTGAACATGGAGAACTGCATCGTGAAGCTAGACGTGTTGATACAGAATGGATTGTGCAAGTCTCCGCCATTTTGACACCACACGGATCGCACCGCCCAACGCGCGCACATCGCGAGCGTAGATAGTAGCGCTCTTGGAAGGCGAGCCAAGGGTTGCGTTCTTTGCTGGAACAGGCGTGTCAACGTTGGTCAAGAGGCACGGCGCGAATGCCTTCCCCTCTTTGGCGTAGCTCCAGGGCCTGCTGTGGTCGTTAGTACAGCGGCCCGGCTCGAAGCTTACTCCCGACGGATGCTCCTCTATTTCCGGTATGTACTCCAACGAAGCTAGACTGCGCCGTTGATGAGCAGGGTCCCCATCTGAAATGAACTGATGTAGGAACACCTGTCTGTCGATCTCAGCCTGAGAGCCAGACCTACGCCGGCCGTAAGCGGATGTAGTCGTGTCGACGAAAGGAGAATTCACAACCGCATCACTGAAGGCTTCCGCGTGTGGTTCATCGTCGTTAATTGACGTTCTGAGCGAATCTTTGCCTCATCAAGCGGTATCTCGCACCGAAGTAGAGCAGAGGAATAGCTGCGGGTAAATCCGGGCGGGTACGTCTTTTGCTCTACACAAATACAAATTGTACGTTAACTCCTGCTCCTCCCCATCATAGGTTGCATAGCGCATATGGTGCATACTGTCACGTCCCGGCCGTGCTCGATGAGCATAATGATGTCTATAGTCAAACTGCGTCAAGATCAGCGATAGGCCCAAGTCATCTTATGAAGGCATATGCGTACCTGTCGAATATCGAACCAGTCTACTGACTCTCCCGCTCTAGAAGGCTGTTGAGACACCGCACAACGATGCCAACGCCCTCCTCCACCATCTCGCGGTCCTCTTCGTCGACTCGCGCAAGTACCCGACCGAACCGATCCGGGTGCCACCGCCGCAAAGCGTTCCGGACCTTCTCCCTGCGCGTCTCCCCGGGCTGCAGCGGCGAGAGCACGAACCGCGTCACCTTTGCGGTCGTGATGTCGTCCAGCGACCGCGGCCTCGCGAACGTCGGCCACGGGATGTCGCAGAACCCGAGCGACTCCGAGGTGCTCGAGAGTTCCGCCCACCGGGACTCGTACTCGCTCTGTGCCTCCCGCTCCGCCTCCTGCCGCCGACTCCGTAGCGCCTCGCGCTCCCGCTCCCAGCGGGCCCGCGCCTGTTCTTCTTCGAGCCTCCGCTTCTCGAATGCCTCTCGGTGCCGCTCGCTCTCCCGCCGGTACGCCTGCAGCCGCTGCATCTCCTCCTCGAGCATCAGCTCGGCCTCGCGCTGCCACCGCCGCTTCCGTCGCGCCGCCTCCTCCATCGCGGCGTAGGGGTCGCCGTAGTGCACGTCCTCGGCTGCATGCCGACCTCGGTGGCCGGACGCGACGATGCGGTACGCGGCCTGCTCGCGAATGGCGTCGCGCGCCTGTTGCTGGTGGATCCACTGCACGGTCTCGTCGTTCTCCTCCGCCATGCGCGCGAACTGCTGCTCGAGCACCCACGCGTACGTCTTCGCCACGTGCTGCCACGGGTTCGCATCCGCGTACTGGGGTGTGGCCATCGTGCGTGAGCGGCGCATCGCGGGGTGGGCGTGCGCGGTGGAGCTGTGCGATGTCGATGCGCGCCCCGAGAACGACGCTCGGTCGTCGTGGTAGTGCTTCGGGGAGTAGTGGTGGTGTGGTGGCTCGTAGTAAGCCGGCTGTGGAGAAGCGAACATCGTTTATAACAGCGAGAGGGCGAACAAAAGGTATAATGGGCTTGAATCGACGGCCGAAAGCGGCAGGACGATGATGGGGAGCGCGCGCGAGAGAGGGGGAGCTGGGGATATGGGTGCGTGTATGGCGACCCTGCGCGGGCGAGCCGCACCATATGTACCTCCTCGGAAGACCGGCCGCGAGAGGAGGTCGATTGTGTGGGTTCGCGTGCGATCGTGTTAGGGGTGCAGCAGCTGCGCGTCTGACCATGCAATGGGCCCTTGCCTCCCCGCCTCCTCGTGCCGGAAACGGAGGGCTTTCCGGTATGGGCTCCTGCCGCGGCTCCCTCGCACCGACCGCCTGAAATCCCCCCGATCGGGCCTTGTCGCCTCGTCCGCTCCGTACCCGCCTTTATGAAGGCGTCCTGGCTGGACGCCGTGCAATACCGCGCAATATGTTTCGGAAGATGGGACGGGCGCCACGGCCGTGAGTTTGCGTGCTCTCGAGTCTTCTCGCTGATTCCATTGTGCTCCTCCCGGCGCTTCTGCCGCACAACCCAGTACCCCTTCCCGGATGGCCACAGGCCACCTCACCTGCGCTCGATCTCTCCTGGCGATAGATCGCACTCTCTATTGGCCAGCAGCCCCTCGTGGCCGTGCCAAGTGACGCAGCCAATGACCATGTCTACTGCGTGTACGCACCGCAATCCACGTACTCGGGGTTTCGTAGACAGGCAGCGTCGCGAACTGGCAAACAAAGTACCACCGAACTCTTCGGGTGTCGTAAGCTGATGGGTGCTCGATCGCGGGGTGGTTATCACGCAGCTTGGGCACGAGGCTCACGGGGAAGGCTGCTTAGCAGCGGGCAGGCAGCAGCGTGGCGGTCGACCGTGGGCGTCGCCGTCCAGTGGCGCGCGTCTTCGCACTTCTCGAGGCCGGCACTCCGATGACGGTGGGGGTGTCGGAGCTGGGAGCGCACAGGCAAGGGAGGAAAAAGGGCAAAGACGGATAGGCGTCTGCATAAATAGGAAGCATACAAGCACAACAGCGTGTCTGGGGCACGCAAAGTTCGGGGAGTAGTACAGGGCTGGCGTAGGCATAGTTTTTCAAAGGATTGGAGAGGTAGGATACTGTAGTTGAGTTCAAGATACATACTTGTGCTCACATTCGCTCAGGCAACCACGAATGCGTCATTTCAGACAGAGGGCGTAGCGCGGTTCTTCAGATCTGTCGTGACGCTCAGGCTGTCAGGGACGTCGTCCGTGGCGTAGTCCACGGTCTTGTCCACAGTGATCTGCACCTGCGCAATAGGCACCGTCAGCGACACGCCCGCGCCTGCGCCCGATGTCGTACTCACCCGCGTGCCAAGGTTCAGCTGGTCCGCGTTCTGTCCCCAGGCATATATCAGCTGATGCACGGAGGCGAAAGGAAGAGACGCCGCACCGAATGGCGCATGGCGCGGCTTGCGAATATCACAGGCAGGCGGTGGGCACTCCCGCCGCCAGAGTGCGACTCGGACTGCGCCCTCAGGATCTTGCGTGCGTTCATCCTGCGGCAGGGATGCATTAAGCGTCGTAATAATGAAGGCATCGCAGGCACTATCTCGCTTGCGCGGGGAGAGACGTACGATGCGAGGAACGAGTTTGCGTAGACTGTAAAGATAGAGGGCCGGATCTCAGCCAGAGAACCCGAGATGCGTTGGAACGCGGTACGCACGCTTGCTGATGGCGAAGTGAAGCCCGAGATAGATCAGGACATGAGGCCTCACGAGCCACTGCGAAGAGACGAATAGACGCGGTCAGCCACGGCTAGACACGCAACATGCGCATTTCATAGATGTGGGGCATTACTCACGAAGATGAGGGAGACAAGCGTGGTCACTCTGCGTGCGATCCGATTAGCAGGCCCCAGCTAGGCGCTCGAAGGCGTGGTCAACGCACGAGGTAAGTAAACCGTTCTCGACGGTGTATAGCGTGACGGAATCAAGGACGTGATCGAATCTACCGGCGGAAAGGATATGAGCGATGGGTACTCCGCTGCGGTATTAACGGATGGAGGGCCGTACCTGCCGGTGCCGGTACGATTTCTGCGTAGGTAGTAGCAAAGACCGCCGGTGATCAAGAAGTCGACGACGGACGAGAGGACGAGTCCAAGAGTGAACACCCACTACGGAAGTGGAAAAGGGTAAGCCGACTGCGAGAATAGACTGACTGCGCAGACACTAACTCGGAAGCGCTCCCCGAACTCGTGGAAACTCCCCAAATGGATCCTACAATGGCATTGCGGCTTGTGAGCCTGGAAGTCAGAGACCAGGGCTGGGGGACGCACAGCTCAACCGTCGTCACTGCGGAGAACAATCGTGTGAGCGTCCGTTCCGGGCTATCCGTGAGTGGGCGACTCACCAAACGCTGCGACTGTACGCGCCCAGGGATGTCAATAACCACAAAAGCATGGCAAGAGTCCCTGACGCACCTACGCGTGCTACGGCGAGAATGACCTGCCAAAGCAATGCGTCGGTACCCACAATACGCACACATAGAGCGATAACACTTACAATGGGTACCGTAACCCAATAGTTACCCTTGCTCACTGTTGAAGTCAGCATTCATTGCACCATCGAGTGACGTCGGCACTAACGCTTGAACAATCGCAGAGCGAAGAACCTGATATCCTCAAGGTCAAACCAGATATCAGTCAAGTAAGGATATGCTCTTACATGTGCACGATCACAGTGAGGATGGCCTGTACAGCGTTCAACGGATGTTTGGAATAGGACGTGATGATCTATACTCACAGTGAGTGCTATGGAGATCTGACCTTGACGTGTCAGAAGTGGAAGGTGCTCTGAAGCAATAAACCCACCCCCACAGCCCTGACATGAGGATGTCAGCAAAAAAAGTGTTGTGAGCGTGACGCCACTCACCAAAAAACACGATCCGTAATCTCTGTATTCCCAAAATTGTCCACAAAATACATGTAGTTTGCCGCAGCTATCATCACCGAGTGTAGAAAGTCTAGAAGGCTACGAAGGCGGTCAGGGGAGGGAGCCCAGTGGACGCGGTACTATTGCAGCCGCTCACAAGACACCTCCGACCTGCGCGTGCGTTAGCGGATGAATATATCGCGACGACACCATACGCACCTGGAACTTGGTCGAGAACTTATCGCGCGTGAAGAGTCGAAAGTACAGGACGGTCTGCATTGCAACGACGCCTGACAATCTGCGCGAGTTGTCAGACAAACATGGACTTTAAAGTTGAACGATGAACCACAGACGTACCCCGTGCAGACCATCCCTCCGATGATGAGGGCGCCCAAGCTCGTCTTGAGGTCAGACTCCGGAATCATAACCATCTTCGTCCGTTACTATCGCCCTGCGGGGTGTCGAGCATGCAGGGGGAGGAGATGAAAAGACCAGGGGAAAGGGACACCTGCGCGTGGGTTCAGGTACTGCGGTATTTGAAGTGGGGGCGTCCGCGATCTCGCTGCAATTTAGGACCATCTCCGCGTGTCCCAAACGGGCTTGACCTGTGTGGTTAGCCGAGGCGCGAGCAGTCAAGCGGATGGCTCCCAGTCTGCACGTCCGATCCTGATCTGGATCATGAAGATTTCTCGTTCCTGAACGTTTCGTAGCCCACCCCTGTGCTGCCTCCCTGGTGGCACCACACTGCTAGCACTGCGCGTCGACATATTGTTGGACGTATGTATGACCTAAGAATGACCATTGGCGGTTTCCAGGATCCTATGAGCTGCAAGAATGGCATTTTGCACCGGATCTGCCAGGGAGACCGGTCAAAGCCGATTGCTTCCCCGCGTCCGGGGTTACGAGCGCGGGGCTGGAATTCGGAGCTGACGGTCTTTGTGTGGTCCCATGAGCCACCGGAGGCGGAGGTATCTCGTGGATGCGATTGGTTACTGAGGCGGCGTTGACCTCGCATAGTGACCGGGAGAACTACTTAGCCCTGGGTGAGCTAACCATTAAGCTATTATTGATCGGCATCGAGTCCATCCACTGGCGCGGAGCAACCCAGGGCTGCCCTGCCAACAGTGGGCCAGAGTGGGCCTCATCTATACGCCAATTACATGGAAGTATCGTCGGAAGAACGATCGAACATACCTTCCATGGACGGCAGACAGTTCTGATGCTCGAGCGGCAGTGGCGAAACAGTGTTTCGGCCTTCCGGGACGCGTAGCTTCCGCCCAAGGTCGGATCGTAGAAGAGCTGGATGTTTTAAGCTGACCCGTGGATATCGATAACATGGTTCCGTCTTGTGCGTTCGAGGGGCCGGGCAAGGTTCAGGGACGCCGAGCTTTTTAGAAGCTCGTTCGGTTGTTGACCATAGAGGATAAGTCCGGAATACCGTCAGGATCTTGTCCGCGGGCGCGATTCAGGGCCCAGGGGTGCCGGAGGGTGGTAAAGAGTGTATATATAGGCCGCAGTCTTTGAGGGATGATCCGCTGAGGCGTCGGCCTCTCAGGCTCATCGAGGTTTCGTTTAACCTCACGATGAGGTCGAGCACCAAAGCTCACATGTGTCCGGCGCTTGTATAAATGAGTACGTAATACACCTTACGCACCGCCGCCAGCGTCTCCAGGTAGGAGTACTTGTGCAGTGTGCACACCATTCTGAGCTTCTCTACCATTCTGCAACCTGCACCATCCACCGCTCACTCAGTACTCACTATCGACTCTGGATCCAGCTGCTCTTTGCTCTTGCGATATGTAACGCTCGCTCAAATCTCTAGGCTCATCGATGCTCTCTCCTTGTATCCTACATCTCCGAGGACGTACCGGGTGATAGCCCTCTATTTGCTCAGCTTCTAGCCCAGCTGCACCTCTAGCGGATAGCTTGGGGCCGATTACGCGACTTCGCACCTGACTATGGACACTCTTAGTCGACAGAGCCGTAGCTTTTGTCTACATCACTCCTTGGCAACACCTGTGTACCTGGTCCGAATGTCTACCTATGTCATCGACAGCCCAACGTATCTGGTAGAAACCGCGGTGTTCTAGCGCAAACTCCCGCTGCCCCTCCCTTCCCCGGGGAATAGACGCATAGAGAGGATGAAAACTGGGTCGTGGACAGGGAGAGGTGTTAGAAGGGTTTTTTGACATGTGGGTGAATGCTGTCGCCGTGAACCACTTTGGTCGCTAATCCACGTTCTTCTCTCAGAAATAACTGGATCAAATAGATGGTCAAGATAAGCGTATACATCCATTTCACATCAACTTCTCAGAAGTCCCGCACGCGGACTACACTCTCACTGTGGGAGCTGGTGTCAACTATCTTCCACGAACGTCGCGCATAGCGACACTCACCGTCGGCATGCGGAGCCTCAAAGGTGAGCTTCTTATACTGGGGACCGGTCCACCCGTGAAGAATACTCAAGAACTTGTACGGAATCTCTCGCGCAGCCTCAGCGGGGTCGTTGCCTTCGTCCTCCATCGCCAGGCGCATGACCACTTTGTCATCTTCCACCGAGACGTCCCATTCCGAGAGGCCATGTGGACGCACGTCCTGGGCGTATTGCTTGAACGCCTCCACGACACCCTGCGTGTCGGCTTCGTTGAACTCGACGGTAGTCTTGAAAACGGTTGCGTCGCCGGCCGCGTCATCCGCGTTGATGATGCTCGCCATCTTGAGCAGGAGCTGCGCGCTCGGCCGTTCAACCGCGAACAAGTTCGTCGTGGGGTTATACGTCGCAGAGAGCCGGAGCTGGCTGTCCAGCGCCCACGCGCCCGTGCCCGGGCGGCCGGGCGTGCTGGTGTACGTGACAGAGCGGGACGCATAGCCCCCAGTGAAATCAACCTGGGGCCATGCACGCAGGCTCAGCTCGGTGCGCGCGTTGAGCAAAAGATCTGGCTCACCTCGATCGTGTTGCTGACTGAATCGACAATGATAGTGCTCGTCGTGTGCTGCGCGTCGAACCAGACGAGCACGCTCTCGACGGGCGTGAGGTTGACGGGCCCGGTGACGACTTGGGACGGGCTGACGAAGATGGGGGAGAATGCGCCGCCGAGGTAGCCCATGACGCCGATGTTCAGCGCCGCGTACTCATTGTCCACTGTGAAGGTTCCAGACGAGTTGGGCGAACCCGTAGGGTTGTTCATGACGCCGTTCTCGTCGAGCAGCACGGTCTGGCCTGCGCGGCGAGGGACGCGGCGGGACTCGTGAGCACGACAAGATCTGGAGGCGGTACGAGTCGCTCACCAAACTTGATTTCGGGGCTTTCAGTCGCTGCGGTGACCAATGCGCCCTCTGCGAAGGTCTCTGTCCCGAAAACCGCATATCTGCTAGTCCATTGGAACGTGTTGCGGGCGAGGAAGCTAGTGTCGCAGGTGCGTCAGTGACCTCGTCTGACTGTGAGAAGGATGCGACGTCCTGACCTGCCTCCTCTCCAGACGGTGTTGTAAGTGTTGTTAACCTTCTTTGCAATGCAGAGGTTATAGCCAACCTGTTTGAGGGCAGTAATATCGGCACTAGCGATGTTAACGGTAAGAGTGAACGTCGCCATGGATGGGGTCGAGATGGTGCGTTTGAATCTGTGTTTTGGAGGGTGGCGTGTTCTTGAAGGGCGAGTAGCGAGACGCACTACTTTCTTCTCGCCTTATATCTCTTTCTCCCTCCATGCCGCTGACATCTGTACTTCTCACCAGGAAACTCGCAGGGCTCTCTGGTGGCGCCCAATTCGACACATGTGTTTGCTGAGGTGCCGCTGCGTAAGTCATCGCAAGCGAAGACCGTCTCGCTGTGTCCGGCATGGCGCACATCAAACCGTCGGGATATTCTGCGCCGGTTCGCTAGCATCGGCGGCGAGCGAGGTCAAGGAACGGATGCGCAAGAGCCGTGTCTCATCGTGCAAATCGGGACATCGGCGCTTCGGTGCACTGTCAGAGAAACTGCAGCCGCACTTGTACCCGGAGTTAACGGACAACCTCTCAGGTATTATAATTGTCGACCAGAATCAGTATGTCATGCATATCTCTGTCAGGCTCTGCGAGGAAATCGTGTTAATAGACATTCCTCAGCTCTTAGGTACCGGTCGTGTCCAAGGTCGGGAAGAGATATGCATTCAAGTGCGGACCCTCGCTACGTTGTACGAGGTTCAATCACCGCTTCCATCCTAAAATCTGACATATGGAAGGCACTCATGTAGGACCACCGAAAATGCGACCTGCGAGGCGTTCGCACCTTGTCAAGTTTATCCGGACAAGATTGCAGGATGTTCGCCGTTCGCGTTCCAGTTTGGTGTTGAACCTCAAGCCGCTCGGAACGCATGTATCCCATTCAGGACTGCAATTCTGTCACGGGACGCCATAGGATCCACGACAATGTTTCGCTCACGCAGTCTTCCGCCGGACGTCCATCAGTCCGGAGGGTCAGCCACCATCCGGGCGTGCGATGCCCCCGACGTCGACGACGGAAACACCGACAACCTTCACAACGCTCTTCCGGTAAGAGACATGAAACTCATTGAGAGAACGGCCGATGCTCGTGCAGTCCGTGGCTTCGTCGCTGATATTGATTCGTCATGTTCGCCTAGTGCACTCGGGCGGATAGTATAAAGAGGGTCAAGGTGGAACGAGAGCGTCGCCCATCGAACATCCCAACTTTCAAACACTTGACCTCACAACACTCCTTGCATCTTCTCGATAACAATATGTCGGACTTCAACCTCGCCGTCAACATCGACCCCGCAGTCCTCCCGATATTGATCGATGCGGGCTATAAGCTCTGTATTGCCAAGAAGGTCAACAATCAGTACACTGTCGTCTGGCAAGGTAGCAAGTGCGTACCTCTACGGCGAACTTACTTCCTTGACTGAAACTCTCATCGTGGCACAGTATCCTTCCTTTCAATCAGTTCACCTGGTCGGCCAAGTATCAAGTCTTCGGTTCCATTGCGTTTCAATCTGGGGCATTAGTCCATGCAACGACGACCGTGCAAAACATCGTGTCAGGCATGTGCCATTTCCTGCATTCACTTCTTCGAATTGCGCTCATCTTGACGCTGTTTACTCACAGGTCAAACCGCCACACTAGACAAGTACGGTGTCATGCATCCCGCTACCGGTACCGTCGACCAGAGCGGGAAGTTCACGGTCGAGAACCAGTTCGGACTCATCAATCTCGGTGTCAACTCCTACGTCAATGGGACGTACTCCCCCTCGTATGTATCGGCCAACCCGGTCGTCGCTGGGCCAACAGTTCTCCAGCCGATCGAGTCCGTCTTGGTGTGGTTTGATACCCAAGCTACCACGGGAACCATGATCCTCAATGCCTCGAGCCAGGCTATCGAGGTACGCTCATCAGAAGTTGTTCTCCTTTCTTGGCTGACATGAAGCATTCCTGCCATAGGTTGACTTCACGAGCGTCCCTACCCACACACTGCTCTACCAGACGCCCAGTGGTGCTCCCGCCGGCAGGGGTGTCTGGTACCTCGACAGCGACCAGGCCGTATTGCCGATGACGTACCACGTGGCGTCCAACAGTTTCACAATCCCCGAGCCGGACGAGGGTCAGCTCGCGCTCATGACCGAGCTCTTGAACAGGCGCCCCCGGCTCCGCCCTGCGTTCACCACGTCCGTCGTTGCGGCGGCAGAGTACGAGTCCAAGGAAGAGGGGGCGAGGTTCAAGGACTATCTCTCGGCGAGCAGGCCCGAAGGCTTCGCTCAGTGGGAGGTGTACAGGTCGGACCGCACCATTTCGGTGAAGATGGAGGTCGAGATCGCAACCGACGAAGAGGCCTCCGTTCGCTCCGCCATGGACAAGTACCTTAAGATTCTGTACGCGTTTGACGGCACCAGGTACAAAACCCTCACCTCTACGGTGCACGGGCGTCCCGGTATAACTGCCTGTTCCAGTACTCCATTGATGACTGACTGACACGAGTCGCAGTTGAGCCCCTCCAAACTGACTATCCCGTCCCTCCTGTCGATGTACACCGGGGTAACGGGAAGCCTCCCTCGCCCGACACCATCACCGCCACGGCGGTCGTCCGCTTCCACGACGACAAGAAGGCGAGCGCGTTCTCCGAGCAGCTGAACGACGCCACCTCGCCCGGCATCAAGTTCGAGGCGACCGCGCGCGGGCCCGCCATTACGATCAAGTTCGAGGCGAAGGGCCCCAAGGAGGGTGCGCAGAAGCGCGTCCGCCAGGCGTACGACGCGGCCGTCGCTGCCTTTGGGTGCATGCCGGGCGGCGCGGAGCCTGTCTACGTTGGGTCCATCGTGTGGAGTACGTACCCGCGTCCTTGTTCTGATGTTTCGCAGCCTTTTCTGACGCGTCCCTATTCATGAAGACTAGTGATTGCTCCGTTAAGGCCATGATACGTATATGCGGCTTCGCAGGATATGACTTCTTGGTAGCTTTGGGTAAACAGTATATGCCAATATCATATGGGTCGTCTTCCAATATCACCGTATGTGTACATGTTTTGCGTCGCGTGATGGGCTGGTGCTTCTGAGGGTGAGTAGAGACGACATGAGGACAAGCCAGGCCCGATGTTCCATGCAGATGTGGATTCGTCGCTGCTTGTAGAGTTGCGATATGCCATGCTGTGCTATTCCATTAGCAACGCCTCCGAAAGCGACATGTTCTTCTCTTCATGGGGCATCAACGGGGTTCCAAGTGATCGCCCCATCCTTCCCTCTATCCAGCGAGTCCAGCCGCTCCATATCCTCTGCGCTGATCTCAAAGTCGAATACCTGCGAGTTGGACAGGATGCGTTCCGGGCGCGACGACTTCGGGAGCGGGATGTGTCTGCAAAAGATAGTAGGTCCGTCAGCTCAAGCTCTCACCTGAGGATGTGCCGGACACAGAGGAGGCATACCCGTGCTGGAGCGACCACCGGATGACGATCCGTGCGGCATCCTTGTTGTACTGTTGCAAAACATATGTTAACTTGGATTGTCATTCATATCGCTCATGATAGACATACCTTCTTTGCAAGTTCAGTGAAGACTGGGTTATCCAGCCTGCCCTGGATGAGCGGCGAGTACGCCTGGACGACGACCCCGTTCTTCCGGCAGTACTCGACAATCGGCCGCTGCTGGCAGAACGGGTGCAGCTGCATACCGCGCAAGCATCAAGCATTAGCATTCCCAACATACCCGTGATAGGGTGTCGTCGAACGGCGCACCTCGACCTGGTTCACGCTCGGGAGCTCGTACCCCGCGTCGCGGATCTCGTCGATGTGCTTCCCAGAGCTACGACGCAAGCGATTTCGTGAGCTTTGTATGGGGCGCGAGACCGGGCTGTACCGCCACTTACTAGTTTGACACGCCGATCGACTTGATCTTCCCCGCCTTCTTCGCGTCGACGAGCGCGCGCCAAGTCTCCAGGCGGACCTCTTTCCCAGACAGCGGACTGTGGATGAGGTACAGATCAAAATACTCTGCGGTGGCGTGAGCTGAGTTTAGTCTCGAGCGTTGCGAACGACCCCACCGTATCCGAGATTGCGCAGAGAATCATCGAGCGCGGCTAGGGTGTTCTGGTACCCGTGCTCGGGATGGTAGATTTTCGACGCTGGTCGTTCGCGCCCGTCAGCACATTCGACATGCAACCTCACGCAGGCGCAGGTATGTGTCGTGTATGGAAAGAGTACGCACTGACGAAGACCTGCTCCCGCGGGATACGACTCTGACGGAGCGCGTCGCCCACGCGGTCCTCGTTCTTGTAGTACCGTGCCGAATCGATGTGTCTGTTGAGATTCTCTCAGCCTCTCCCGTCGGGTGTTGCGTATATTGCTACTGACCTGTACCCGCACTGGAGAGCGGCGAGACACGCCGGAGTGCAGTCGTCGTTCTCGAATACGCCCAAGCCCAGTATGGGCATTTCGTACCCTGTAAATATTAGGAATACGTCAGAATGCTGTACATCGTGAAACGGACAGTTCGCCAACATGCACAAATTAAGCATCGCGTTGAAGAGCATGAGCGCATGAGCGGACTTGAGAGCGGGATCGCAGTCGCGATCCCGTGACCGCGTCGCATCGATAATCAAGTTTTGGGGGAAAGTACGATCGCAACATACCGGAAGAGAGGGGGACCGTGGTCGCAAGCGACAAAGGCACCGGTGTCGAGCTAGTCATGACAAGTGTGTGGAGGTTCTGCGAAGTTAGGGGCGCGAAGCTAGAAAGTCGAATCTTCTCGGGGTGGGTATTTATACCCTCACTGTGGCCGAGTCAACAGCAGCCACCAGATGGCGCCAAGCTGATAGGACGGCCAACGGAACATCGTTTAGGAACACATTTCCCATTCCCACTTCTGCGCCCACGCAACTCCATATGCACTACTTATGGTACATCCGCGATGTGTTCTACACGTCCTTGATCTTCTTTTATCCTCACCGGTTCCAGCACCGCGCCTCTACGGGGCATCGACGGGGTTCCAGGTGACGGCGCCGTCCTTTCCGCGATCCAGCGCGTTGATCGCTGACATGTCTTCCTCGCTGATCTCGAAGTCGAAGATGTTTGCGTTCGAGATGACACGCGCTGGCTGCGATGACTTCGGTAGTGGCACAAACCTGGAGAGATATATTTAGCCAGCGAAAAACCAGTCGCAAGGTGACTGAGACTCACTTGCGCTGCAAGGACCAGCGTATAAGAAGCTGCGCGGGATCTTTGTCATACTGCGATTCTCCGTCAGCGTCCAGATGACAACTTTGATAACCTTCTGCAGGCACGTACCTTCTTTGCAATTTCGACGATCTTGTCGGTCCACTTGCCGCGAATCAGGGGGGAGTAAGCCTCGACGATGATACCGTGTTTGGTGCAGTACTCCACGATCTCCTTCTGTTGGCAGAGCGGGTGCAGCTAAATGCGACACATATCGTCAAAAATGCCGATTTCAAGATGATGAAGGGGGATAACACGAACCTCAACTTGGTTTACAGAGGGCGTCTCGAGCCCAGCTTCGCGAATTTCTTCGAGATGCTTAGGTCCACTAGGAGCAATATATTTATGACTTAAGCCGCGCAGACGGTAGAACGGGAAGGACACACTAGTTGGACACCCCGATCGTCCGGACCTTGCCCTGCTTTTTCGCCTCGATGAGCCCCTTCCACGTCTGTAGGCGGCGCTCCTTGTCGGACAGTGGCGAGTGGATGAGCATGAGGTCGATGTACTCTGCAGTAGGTGCATGCGTAAAAAGGGGCGTTGAGCAATCCTGAGGACGGCGGAAAACAGAGACACGCAGGCACTCACCAAAGCCGAACTTGTTGAGAGAGTCGTCAACCGCCGCGAGCGCGGTCTCGTACCCGTGCTCGGGGTTGTTGACCTTTGATGCTGCACGTCACGCACGGGTCAGGGTCTTGCACGAAGCCTGAGGGAAAAGAAGGTACGCACTGACAAAGACATCCCCGCGAGCGATGCCGCTCTCCCTCACCGACTTTCCAACCTCCTCCTCATTCTTGTACATTCGCGCGGAGTCGATGTGTCTGGGAGCGCGCTCAGCGACCGACGTGCAGCACATTAGGCGTCCCTCTGTACCTGTATCCATGCTTCAGCGCAGCGAGACACGCCGGACTACAGTCGTCGTTTTGGTAGACACCAAGGCCGACGACAGGCAGCTCGTACCCTGCGCATATATGCATGGTCAGTTCATGTACAAACGTACCGGTCTGCGTGAGCAACATACCGGACGAGAGCCTGATGGTGCTGCCGAGGGTGAGCGTGAGCTTCGACATGGTGGACATGGTGCAGGGTGGGACTCATTAGCCAAAGCTTGCAGATATATATACTGGCTGCCACGGCCTGGGATCGAGTTCGCACGCTATCACCGATGTCTACTCTCTTCCATTTCGAAGTGGACTCTGTCAGCAGAAGAGGGGAGAAAGGGCCGGTGACGACATCGATCGCCGAGCCTCTTCACCACAGCGGTTCTCTATCTTATCTTATCGCCTCGGCCGCCCTGCCGCAAAGCTGCCAGGATATGCGCCGGCTCCAGCTACAAGAAGAGGGAAAGATGGCAAGCTTGACTATAGTTGACTCTTTGACTTCTTGACGGAAGTGAAGGCATCAGTCTCATGCAATCTCGAAGGCTACGGGAACTCACCAGGCCGAGTAGCGCGCTCGGAGGGCGGTACGGCACACACGAAGTGCAAACGACCTGAACGGCCTGCCAAATGAGGCCACCGATCCGCGCGTCCGTGCTCGCAGAAAACAGACCTTGGAATAATACTACACGTACTCTTACAGCGAGACAGTCTTCTAGCTCCTCCATACCTTGACGGTCCCGTCCGCACTTGCAGTGATCATCTCGCCAGCCTCGATCGGATGGTGTTCGGCCCAGGTAATCACCTTATCGTGCACCACGGGTGGGGGACTCGGTTGAAGCGGTGCAGCCTAGATTCCGCGAAAGAACAGGGGGCAATGTAAGTACTTCAGAAATGCAACAAGACGATAAAAGTACGCACGTCCACTAGATCCCAAGCCCATACCTTCCCGTCTTCGTCCCCACAGACAACGCTTGCCTCCCCGTGCCCGAAGCACGCGCGTATCCGGTACGACGAGCTCGCGTGGCCCGTGAAGTCGTTCAGCATCTTCCCCGTGGACATGTCCATCAGGCGCACATGTCCGTCGATCGTCGTCGCGAGGTACGTCTGGTTGTCTTGCGAGGGTACGACTGCCGTAACTGGGTCTGCGTAGCCCAAGGTAAGTGACGGGAGCAAGAGGAGCAAAAGCAGAGAAGACGTACGTCCGAGGAAGTCTGTGCGCAGCTCGCCCATGCGGAGGTCGTATGTACGGACATGACCGTCGACGGATCCAGTGGTGACGTATGTCCGTCCGATGTGTATGGCCTGCACCGAATCTCGCGCTTCCTCGAGAATCTGTATGGGTGCTCGGTTCTGCGCTCTGCGCAAAGCATCCAGTTAGTTGCTCACTCAGCGACAGCGATCAAGTATACGCATACGCACTTCATGTCCCACAGCCTAACCGTCGAGTCGTATGAGCCTCGAAGAAACTAAGCATCTCAGGCCCTCCCTTCGCACAGCACAACAGGCCAGACTCACCGCTCGCTAGCACGCTCGCGTCCTCATTGAACTCCACCGCGAATATCTTGCCCATATGCCCCGGTATACGCCGCACCGTCTGCCCCGTCATTACGTCCCACACGAACACCTGCCTGTCCCCGCCCGACGACGCGAACCGGCTGTTGTCGTGCGCGCTACGCGTTTCCCGACCTTCAGCAACTGTAACTGCACATACGCGCCCGGAAGAGAGCAAAAGAGAAGACTCACACTGTGATGGAGAGCACCTCGTACCCGTGCGCGGCATATCGCTTGATCTCCGTGCCCAACTCGGGGTTCCAGAGGCGCACGATGCGGTCCTGCCCGCCGGAGAGCACATACTTCGCGGTGCCTTTCGCGTAGCGGGCGACGTGCACCGGCCCCTTGTTATTCGCGAGCGTTTGGTGGAGTTTGCGGGGAGTCAAGACAGGGCCGCGTGAGGGCGGCATGATGTTCAGTTACCAGGACACAGGTACAAGCAAGCAGCGCACATGGAGGGAGTCTCAGAGCTCGGAGAGGTCAGCGCCAAAGCACGGAGGGTACGCTAAACGCCTAAGCGCTCACGCACTGGGGGCCACAAAAGGCAAGTGTAGAGTTCCGGCGAGCTGCGCCCACATCGCTCAGAAGGCTCCTGTCAATGTTTTTTTGCATTAGGTGTGCTGCAAAAAACGCAACAGATCTCTATTGAAGTGGTATACAGATAAGAGGCCAGAAATAAAGTAGCGAGAATGATGAATACGACAGGATCGAAACACAGCGGTAGTACGGGAGAGGGTATTCGGATCAAATCGCGACATAGTAGACGTGGGGATAAACGGTATGTAATGCTGGCGAAGGGATCATGGCACATCAAATTCAAGGAAAGACGTCATAGCGTGTTGTTATCGTGTATACCAGCTCGGTTGGACATCATCAGCAGTATCTCTCGAAGGGAAGGGTAAACGAAGGAAGGCCGTAGTCTCGAGCATCGCCGAGCCCAGTTCAAGTGTAGCGTGTATCCGCTCAAACATTTGTGCTGCGTCTGGATTATCACTGGGGACGAGGACATAGAGACTACATACTCATGCAATCGGCACTGTGTCGCTACCGTGAACAGAAGGCATCGGACCTGAGAGAATATTGCTCAGGCCCCTGGAAACGGAACGGTGGGTCAGCAGAACGCCCTCATGGTAGAGAGTATGTATACCATCAATATCTCCTGTACGGAGGTGGGAGGAACTCTTGGGGCGGTTCGTCCGATGGGCCTCCTGCAAGGCGGACACCCCCATCCTCCTCGAGCACCAGCGCCATTTCCCTGAGGCGTCCTTGACGTCCACGTTGTATAGCACGGACCGATCGTGGTGGAGGGCCTGGGACAGCCTCCTGCGGTTTAACGTCGGAAGTGTTGCCATGTCGGAGGCTGGAAGACAGCGATTCACGGAGCGCGCCGAGCACCTCTTGTATGACGTTTCGAGGTTCCTTCTGAGATGTTTTGGCGATTTCTGAGGTGGAAGTCGGAGTGGCAGAGTGGGGGAGCTCTGATAGGATCGTAGGCTGTGTGTGGGGGTCGATATTAAGTGTAGATAGTTCCGCCTCGACCGAGGAAACGATAGTGGGCGCCGGGATGCTGCTTGCTACCGTGGCCACGCTGAACCGCGATCCCTTCATGTCTCTAGGATCGGCGCCGTCTTCAGGTGGCTCGAAAGCCGACACAGGCCAGGTGTGCATTGTGTCCGTAGCGATGATCGACTCGGAGTCGGATCTCTGCGGCGTATACGCATCGGGACGCAGGGCTATATGTAATTATGAGCAATTTGCACCATATAAGCAGCAACCACACGAACCTGCTCGTGACACACGTCGACGGCGGCGGCACCATACAAGGATCATCACATGAGCCAATATAAATGCAATCACCGCGACTATGATGCCAACCATAGCGCCGATGTCCAACTTCGAGTGCTTTGCAGGTCCAGAGCCAGAAGATGAAGGAGTGATGGTATTTGAGGCGATGATGGTGGGTGAGGCGATGTTGGTAGATGAAGGAGCGATGGTAGCCGATATATTGGGGGTCGCAGCGATAGTGCCAGTGGAGGAGCTTGAGAGTGTGGAAGATAGAGAGGGCATAGTCGTGACGCCTAGCGGCGTTACCATGCCCCTGCTAGTATGGCCAGAGCTAGACGGCAGAACGACAGGGTTTAATGCAGTGATATTGAGCAGTGACTCGAGTACCACGAGTGTGCTAGTGGGACCAGGAACGGAGATCGTTGGTTCGATGAGACGCGGAAGGTCGTCGGAAGGTCCTAACAAATCAGGAGGGAGTAGAGAGTTTAGATTCGCCGGGCCCGACGGAACACTTGAGCTTGCACTTGTACCAGGGGGAGGAGAAGCGGTAGATGTCACTGACGGTGGGTCAGACCGCAAAAGAGGGACCCTCGCGCTCGTTCCTGTTGCACCGGCGTCCGTCGACGTCCGTGACTGGTCTGACTTTAACAAGGTGAACATTTGAACGTTGTGTTGAAGAGCCAGTGTGCTGGTTGGTGGCGTAGTTTCCGTGGGCGGGGGCGTCTGATGTGAAGAAAGTGTGCCCGAAGTCGCGACAAGGCTGCCTGATACGTCTCTCCGGGTTAGCTGAACCCTCTTGTGTAACTGAGTGAGGCGGCGGTGTGAGTGCATTGCGATGAGTCGTGATATGCGAAGTCGAGGGTATGTGAGAGATAAAAGAACACGGGGACGTGCTATGGCAGCGGAGAGAATGTGTCGGTGCGCGGAGGAGAGAGACCGCGGGATACATCCAGGAGGTGCGGTCTATCAGCTTTTGAAGGAAATCTAGTACTAGTAGTACCAGAGACATTCCATCGTTCGCTGACATGCAGCAGCAACCATCAGCAGGAGGACTGGAAGCAGTTACTCGTCACATACCTCTAGAGATTGTCCGGACTTAACAACCATACCTCCAGTGACCTTCTCGACAGGAGAAATCACCCTAAGCCATAATCGGATTCGTGATACGAGTACATCTCTACGCAATCTTGAGATTAATGTGTCCGCAATTGCACGCTGACTAAACATAATGCTCGCACCATAGTGATTCGGAGCACTCGAACGGCAGTCCATTGGAGTCGCTGCCACCTTCGGCATCCTCTAGATCCAAATAAGCGGACCCGATAACCATGGCTGAATGGCTGTTTTCGAATCGATGGAGGCGACGTGGGTAGGCCGCGGATGTACACGCTTAGGTCCGCATACCTCATGCTGAAAGCCTTTGTGTATGTCTTTTGACGACGGGTTTATCGGTCCGAAAACAGCTGGAAGTAATTTGAAGACTTACTGACCACACAGATGATACTGGGAAGCTCCATTCGGGAGCCCGCAGAACAGCGATTATCGGGCCGTGAGTACGCTGGGACTGGACTTGCTCGTCGTTCACATCTTCAATCTGTCAGTCAATAAAGCATCCGCGGTATCGCCTTTGGCTGAAAACTCACCCGAGTCAATTCTCGGGAGATAAGAATGATGAGTGACTACGAAGCCACTGGCAGTGGGTGTGAGAGACGGCCGGGCCCCGACGGCCGCTCAAGCTGTTGAGATGGCGGCTCACTGGCCGCGTATTGGGTCGCCCGCACGCGAGAGTGTATGTGTATGTGTGAGAGCTTTCGCGCCCGCAGAGCCTTCTGGAGGCAGGCATATCGCGCTCTAGAGGGTAGAAAGGACGGGTAAGGGCTCGTGCACGCGCTTTGACTCGTCGACAACATACATACAACTATTCGGACACGAAGACAAGCTGACGATTTGATGAGATGCTCAAGTTTTGAATGGAGCAAGACTTCCGTGAGCGAGTTAGCGCGGAAGTCTTCGGTTCTATGCGATGGACAAGGTCAGAGATATGACACTGTTCAATCGAGCGCTTCCTACAACGAGCGGGGAAGCACTGGACCGGACAAATGTTTCTCCATCTTGCCAAGGCACTTTCGCGCCGCCCGGCCATGATGCATGCGTGATGTTCCCCGCTCCGCATTGACATCCTCTTAACATCCTCTGCATCGGTACCGGTGGTTCACTGTTGGGTGCTTGCCTTTCCTTCTCACTTTCTCCCAAGCTTAGCCCGCCCCCCGCATACGCAGCAACATCAGGTGGGATGCGGAGTCGCAGTCGAGCACTCCGTATCCACTTAACTGGTTATACATGACACATCTGTGTTCGCGGCTGCGACGGACCGGACATATGAACGAGCCTGTGTGATTCCGAAAACGTGTGCCACAAGCTCACGCGCCCCAAGGAGAGAGGAACGATAAGACTCACACTGTGATGGAGAGCACCTCATACCCGTGCGCGGCATAACGTTTGATCTCGGTGCCCAGCTTGGGGTTCCAGAGGCGCACGATGTGGTCCTGGCCTCCGGAGAGGACATACTTCGCGGTGCCCTTCGCGTACCAGGCCCTTTTGTTCGCGAGCGTTTGGTTCAGTTTTCGGGAGGTGGGGCCGGTGCCGCGTGAGGGCGGCATGCTGTTCAGTTACCAGTCGTAGATGAAGGCAAGTACAGTACGGTATATGGAGGGGAGTCCCTCAGCGTCGCTTCGCTCCAGTGGTCGCACATGGGCTTAGTAAGGGCTAGACACCAGGACAAATATGTATAGCGGACTAAGAGATAAATACTAGGAATCGGCCCGTAAAGCAAATTGTACACTGCGTGATGGAAAAGCAATGGGCGGGGCTTCCTAATTGCGTGCTACCGTTGGTCCGAGGGGGGGAACAACAGAAAACTAAACTTGAACGCTGAGTCATTTCCAGCGTAGCGCTTTCCGCAGTTAAGTTTAGTGCTAGTTTCCATGTGTGGGGGGAGACGAGAGTCCTCCGGGCCGGTCACGTGACCTACGCGGGCACGGGACCTACGCGTCGCGTCTCTCGGACGCGTCTCGCTGCTGCCTGGTGCGCTGGGTCGCTCTCCGTTCGGAGGCAGACCGCGCGCTGCTCAAACCAGGCGATTACCGCGAGGTAACGCGAAACCGGAAGACTCCCGCTCGAGCGCGAGGTGGCGAGACCGACTCGCCCCCATGAGCGAAGCACAACAGTCGGGCTCGCCTCGCCTCGCGCCCCGCGCGCGCGTGCGCGCGCCCGACTCACCCCACACAAAGCGAGCTCGTATCAGTTAAATACACATAATATCATATTACGATGGTGCCGCGTTTCTACTCCGGAACTCGTCCATTGTGTTCGACAACAACT